ACCGCGACCACCACGACCACAGCCAGAACGACCACCACAACCACCTCCCACAATTACCATGGCCAGTGGCACGACAACCACCACGACAACCCTACGACGAGACACGACCACCTTCACGACCACCGCGACAACGCGCCCACTACCACAACTGCCACGAACCCACCGCGGTAACCACCTGCACGGCAACCACCACGACCGTTTCGACGGGACAAGTTCACCACCACGACGGGCACGACCACCACCATAACGACCGCCACCACGACGACGCAGCGATCGCACCTCGCCGCCCCTCGGCCTCCTTTCCTTCCTGCCCTCCTGCGGGGCCGGCACTGCCTGCAGCCTTCGCCTCCTCGCCTCGTTGTTTAAATGATCATTAAGTGCTCGTTCATCCATTCGGAAACAGAGCCTGGTCTGCAAGGTTTGTGCCGTGTGCACCCTGAGTTATGTGCGCCGAGAGGCGCGCCAGGAGTGCCACCAGGCACGGCCTCGAAGAGGCCAGGCCCGCGCGGTGCCTGCGGCGGAACCCCGGGCCATGATACCAATGCCCGGGGGCCCTCTGTGCCGAGGAGAGGAGGGAGGGAGGAAGGAGGAGGGAGGAGGTGGGGAGAGAAGGAGGAGGGATGGAAGCAAGGAGAAGCGAGGAAGAAACAAGGGAGGAGGAGGAGGAGGAGGAGGAGGAGGAGGAGGAGGAGGAGGAGGAGGAGGAGGAGGAGGAGGAGGGAGGAGCGAGGGCAGCGAGGGCAGAGGGAGGAGGCTGGGGGATAGACGCCCCAGCCCTGTTGGTCAAGATGGCCCCCCGACAGCGCCCCGAGGTCTTGCCTCCTGAGCGGCGGCGCGTGGTCCTGTAAGGTTTTCGGCGCCCGCGCGCCGGGAGAAGAAGCCGCGCGGCGGAAGTTCCCGGAAGGGTTCTGGCAGCGTTCGGCCCCCATGGGGCTCCTTGCCAGGCACGGGGGCCGTCAAAAGACAGCCGGGGATGGAATGCCGGCCCCTGGGGCGAGGGAGGTCCAGACCTCCTCATGGATTCGGAGAAAAAGCCACGGCGTCGGCTGTCTGGGAGACCGGAAGGTTCTCGCGCATGTTCGGGAGATTTCCGGATGAGTTCGGGGCCCAGGTTGATGTTTAACAATTGCGCCTGATCGTCGGCGTTCTGGGGATGCCCGCGTCGTCCCGAGCGGCCGTTCGGGGCCCGAGTTGTGACCCGAAAGCCAGCACGGGGCCAGCGCTGACGAGTGTCAGCCAGTGCACTTCGAGCACCTCTGGCCGGCCTGGCTCGGGGAGCCCCGTGGCGCCTGTCCCGCTCCCCGCCCTCCGCGGACCTGGGGGTTGGACCTGCGGCGTGGCCAGCGAGGGTTCGCGACACCCTTCGTGGAGCTGCTTAGTCCTGTCACGGGTTAGCGCGTTTCAGATTGCCTTGCGGGTCGCGTCTAGGCTCGGAGCTCGACGTTATGGATCTGTTTACGTTGTTTGATCGTTTTGTTGTGCCTTCGGAGGCATCTGAAGGGTTCAAGAATCTTTGCGAGGACCTCTGGAGTTCCCTCATCGACTTCTGGGGGCCTCTTGAGACGACCTGGGGAGTCGGAAGCGGACCCAGAAGCCGACGTCGTGACTGTTTCGATTCCGAGGTTGTGTCCCACGGCTCGAGGGGCGACTCGGGCCAACAAGTTGACCCGGAGGAAGGTGGCGAGAAAGGTCCAGGGGTAAAGTCTTGGGACACATTTTTCAATTGACAACAGCGTCGGTGATTTTCGAAAAGAGGGAGGAGGAGGAGGAGGAGGAGGAGGAGGAGGAGGAGGAGGAGGAGGAGGAGGAGGGGGAGGAGGAGCAGGAGCAGGAGGAGGAGGAGGAGGAGGAGGAGGCGGAGGAGGAGGAGGAGGAGGAGTGTTCATTGGTCGGTCTGCCAAGACTTCGGTCCTCTGTCGACTTGCCGGGCTCGTCGTGCCTCCCTCCCTCCCCCCCGCCTTGCCCCTTTCTCCATGGTTGGCTCCCTCGTCCACCCTGTCCGTGTGCTCCATGAGTCGGGAGGGGAAAAAACACACAGACACAATTTATCGTCGATTTCCCAGAAAATATGGGAAAATATGGGAAGTGTGGGGGAAGACAAATAACCCAGTAGATATGGGAAAATCCTGTTATTTGTGCGTATTTATTTGTATGTCCCAGGGCCCCTTCACATGATTCCTCCTCCGCGCACCTCTTGAGGAGCAGGTCTGTTGGCCAGTGCTGAGCACTGCTGGCCGGTCTGGTATGCACCAGAGCCGAAGGAACGAGCTTCACGGTTGTTCTGGTGATCGTCGTGTGGGGGGCGCGGTGCAGCAAAACCGCAGTCGCAGTTGATGACCCCCCCCAGTCTTCGGTGACGCCCTGATGCCCTAAAAGTCCAGAAGTTTGCGTGCAAGTTCGATGTATTCCATTCCCTGCGCTGCGCCACTGAAGACATGGTGCATCCAGCGTCGCCTCAGACAGTTCCAGAACCATGCCAAGGAAGATGTGTCGGCGTCTGAGGATAATGATTTGGGAATCGGCAGCACGGGCGCTGGACTGCGCGATGAAGCTGCAAGATGGTCTGCCCCGAGTCGCGTTTGCAAATAATCGACAGGGATATATCTTTCTCGTGTTTATTGTCCACGTGCAGTGCTTAATCCGCGTCTTGAACACCAGATCCCCCCCTTCTGTGTTGATGTTGCTGCGTTTGCAGGCTGCTGGCAACGGTATTACTCGGAGGTTGCCGTTGCAGTCTGCCCGTTGCAAGCCCCGCAGGAAGCAGTGGAGCACGCGGCGGCATGGCTGACATCTTCAGCCAGTTCGGGGGGGCGGGAGGGAGTGCTTCATCTTGCTGGAGCGATCCAAGTCCTCGACCAAACACGAGGGGCCACCGGGCGGCGAGGTGCCAAAAGATAACACGTACGGTGGGGGCGGTGGTTAAGGAATGTGCCCAGGAGGCTTCATAGCCTGGGGGATTGCTTATGTGATGAGGTCAGCACGATCGGAGTTCCACCGACCTCCAGACCCTAGATCTTTTATTAAAGGATTCCTTCTCCAATGCCCTCACCGTGCACACTTTTGGCGTCGCGGCCCCGCGCGCAGCGACAGGGCGTCAAAGTCGGAGAAGTGAACGCGTGCGCGCGACCTCACCGCACACGCACACACACACACACACACACACACACACACACACACACACACACTTTTTGCGTCGGCGGCTGGGCAGAGGTCGACTGCTCTGGCGGAATGGCAACAGGGGACACGCTGTATGCAAATCAAGGCCGCGATTCACGGTAGGAGGAGGAGGAGGAGGAGGAGGAGGAGGAGGAGGAGGAGCCTCGGCGCGACGGCCTTATCTTCGACTCGAACGCCCCCGCAGCCCTTCGCAGGATGTAGTTGAGTGACGAACGCATGGGCAAAAGGATACAAGGTGGCACCGAGCAGCGAGTGGTAGGAAAACGGAAGTGGGACTGGCAGCCGAGAGCCAAGATTGCATTCGGGAAGTCCTCAGGCCGCATAGCATGTTCAATTGCATGCGTTCGCAGGTGAGGGTAGCAAACCAAGCAGAGTCTAGTAGAAGCAAGAAAGGATCGGTTGCCAGTGGCAGTCCACCTGATTGGACGGCGGCGAGCACCGAGTGAGTATACGCGCAGATGCCGTGTTGAAGGTTCCGTGGCACACGGGAATGACGGGTCGGGAGGTGGGGGGGCACAGGTTCGACAGGATGGCGAGCGACATGATGAAGGATTTCGGCGGCATGCGGGAGCCTGGCAGCATGGTGGGCGGCAGGGCCGGCGGCGGGCTCGGAGGCGGCCAGTACGCGTGCCAGAGCTTCGCCATGTGCTCGCGCATGGGGCCCGACGGCAAGCAGCACGTGGAGAAGTACTCGTCGTCGGACGTCGGCAACACGCAGCACGGGATCCGCGAGTCCCAGCAGGCCTACTCGAACTCGTCCACCGGGGTCGACAAGATGGCCCTCGAGCGCCAGCTGGGCGACCAGGGCCGCAAGGTGGTGAGGGAGCGGAACCGGCACACGGCGGACGAGCGGTCCACCGAGCTCTTCCGCGGTGCTCCAAGGGAGGAAAAGCCACCCCTCATGGTATCGCTTATCCGATCCCTATCCTCAGACCTCCTCGCGTCGTGAAAAAATCACGATGGGAGTTTTTTTTTTGTTATTATTATTTTCGGCCTCCAGGGGCCCTCGCCGGGCCTCAGGACTGTTAAAAACCAATTCATGATGAAACACCGGTCCCGAGGAAGGGGTCCAGATCTCTGGGGGTCGACGTTGCGAAAAAATTACGACGTCGGGGATCTGGGTCCCCAATGGGCCATGGTATCGCAGCCCCGCCACCGTACCACCCCAGTCGGGGATAGCTCCCTCGAAGCCCGAAGGGAACGGCCTATACTCCTATCTAGAACCTAGGGGAATACCTCGGCCAGTGGGGCCCCCAGAGATCCAACGCATTGAAAAAATCAAGACGGAGGTCTTTTACAGTTTTCGGCCTCTAGAGGCCCTCGCCGGGCCCCAGAACCGTCAAAAACGACTCAGGACGAGAAACCGGCCCCAGGGAATGGGTCAAGACTTCCGGGGACCCCGCATTGAAAAAATCACGACATCGGATCTCTGGGAGGCCACGCCAGTGGGGATAGGGATCGGTTGAACGATGCTCAACCCCGACCCCATCATTGGCGCATCTGCTCATCGGCCCTCGGCGCCTACGACGCATACTCCTGCCCTGCTCGAACCCATCCTGGGGTCCGGTGACGAGCGGCTTCGCTTGCGGGGGTGCTCAGGGTGAGGCTGGCCCTTCCCCAGAGATCCGATGTCGTGATTTTTTCAATGCGGGGTGGACCGGTCTTTCATCCTGAGCCGTTTTTGGACGGTCCTGGGGCCCAGCGAGGGCCCCCTATGGAGGCCGAAAGCTGCAAACAAAACCTTCGTCTTGATCTCTGCCCCTGCGTTGGCTCTCTGGACCCGCACCCCAGTAAAACAGGGCTAGGATCGGGATAAATCGCTCCAGAGCGTTCCGGAGCGCTCTCAGAGCGTTCCGGAACGCTCTGGAGCGGCCGCGGCCGATTCTCAGAGATTTCGAATTATCCCGATCCGATTTTGTCCCGATCTTCGCGTCGTTTTGCCCAGGCATGGACGAGAGCGGCAAGGACGCCTTCGACAGCCGCTTCGCGGCGCACCGCGGGCACCTGCCCGCCCACGGGGCCCTGCCCGCGGCGGGGCTCCCGGGCGCCGGCGCTCGCGCTCTGCCGGGCCACCCGGGGCGCGCCGCCGCGCCGCGGCCCGCGGCCATCAGCGACATCGGCAGCACCTGGTCCGGACGCTTGCTTGCAGTGGGGGTAGCAGGCCAGCCACAACTGGGGGAGCTGTGGTCCTTACCCCCCTGGGGGACCCATCGATTTCGACACCCCTCTCGAGAGATCGTCGAGGCGATGGGTTCCCCCAGGGGGGTAAGGACCACAGCTCCCCCAGTTATGGCTGGTCGGGGTATATAGTCGGGCGGGGCTGGGGCGAGGAGAAGATCTCCAGAGAGCGAAGGCACTGACAAAAGTCTAGGCGGAGCTTTCTCGCATCGTTCGGCCTCGATAGGGGCCCTTGCCGGGCCCCAGAACCGTCAAACAACGATTCAGGATGAGATTCCGGTCCCAGGGAAGGGGTCGAGACTTCCGGGGACCCCGCATAGAAAAAACACGACATCGGATCTTTGGGTCCGTTCCAGAGTGTTCTGGAACGCGCTCAGAGCATTCCGGGACCCTCCGAAAAGGCCGCGGCGCCCGAGGCATGTTTCAGAACCGACGGACTTCAGAGAGTCTCGCTCTATCTGAGTTATCCTCACCCGATGTTGTCCTCGCCCTTGCTGCTTGGACAGGGGGAGGGGGGAAGGCTTCTCAGAAGCACCTTTGCTTCTTGGAACCCAGAGATCCGATGTCGTGAATTTTTCAATGCGGGGTCCCCGGAAGTCTCCACCCCTTCCCTGGGGCCTGTTTCTCGTCCTGAGTGGTTTTTTGACGGTCCTGCAGGGGCCCGGCGAGGGCCCCCAGAGGCCGAAAACTGTGGAAAATGTCCGTCTTGAATTTTCAGTGCGTTGGATCTCTGGGCTAACCCTCCTTTATGCTCGCCGCCAGCACCCCTCCTTGTGCTCGCCGCCAGGTCTGGACGCTCGGCGCCCGGCGGTGGCACCCGGCGCCTCTGATCAGCCGGGCCGCCGCGGTCGGCCCCCGCGCCCACGGCGGCGGGCTCCGCCCGCAGGCCGCCCGAGGGTAGCGCCACAGACCCGGAGATCCAACGCACGGACAAAAAGCAAGACGGAGCTTTTGTTTGCAGTTTTCGGCCTCTATATGGGGCCCTCGCCGGGCCCCAGGACCGTCAGACAGCGGCTCGGGATGGAAAACTGGCCCCAGGGAATGGGTCGAGACTTCCAGGGGCCCCGCATGGAAAAAAAACACGACATCGGATCTCTGGGGAGATCTCCCGAGACGAAGAAGAAATCACGCTAAGAACATACACTTTTGGCGCTCCGCGCGGATTTCTTGGCTCCGCGCTGGGCCCCCCTGGCGGCGCCTCCGGCGCCGCCCCTGGCGCGCTCTGCGCGCCAGGGTGGGGGGTCCAGCGCAGATCCAAGAAATCCGCGCGGAGCGCCAAAAGTTTATGTTTATAGCGTTTTTCCTTCTTCTATAGAGACCTCCGAGAGACTTCCTCCACTAGGGTTAAGTCGGGCCTGTCCCTCTGCAGGAGGAATATCCAGAAATAGTCAGAAAATAATCCGGGGACGATGTCCCGCCTATTCTTGGATTTTTTTTGGGGGGGCATGCCCGATCTAACTCTGGGGTCTCTGAGAGGTCCCTCCTGGTCCTCTGGGAGGTTTCCCGGGAGGCCTCCTCTCCATCGGCAGCAGGAGGCTTCCTGCAGGTTTCCTGGGAGACCTCCCGGACCTTCCAGAAGCTGTTGGGTTTTACGGGGAGGCCTCCCTTTGGTCCTCTCCTCGGGCAGACCTCCCGGGAGGTCTCTCGGCGGATTCTCCCTCCTGGACCTCCCAGGCGAAGAGGTCAGCAGGAGAATCTCTGGATCAGCCCAGGTGACCTCTGCGAAGATCATGTGGGGCCTCCGAAAGGCCCGCCCTGGTCCTCCGAGAGGTCTCCCCCTGCCAGAGAAACCCGGAGGAGGAGGAGGAGGAGGAGGTGCAGGAGCAGGAGCAGGAGCAGGAGCAGGAGCAGGAGCAGGAGGAGGAGCAGGAGCAGGAGCAGCAGGAGCAGGAGCAGGAGGAAGAGGCGAATGAGGGCGGGAGGTAGGGAGGAGGAGGAGGAGGAGGAGGAGGAGGAGGAGGAGGAGGAGGAGGTCTGCCAGGGGCCCCCTTGGACTCGGGACCCCTGGAGCCGTGACGGGGGAGGAGGAGGAGGAGGAGGAGGAGGAGGAGGAGGTGGAGGAGGAGTTAAAGGAGTTGGAGGAATGGAACTCTTGGGGAATTGTGCCTCAACAGTGCTACGGCGTGCCATTGCCAAATGCTGCTGCACAAGAACTTGCTGACAGGTCTCTGAAATGAGGCCCGCAAGACCTCCACAGTTGCGACATGTGCAAAGCCGCCGCGCTCTGCGCACGGCAGCACTGGCCACAGGCCACAGTCCAGCTACCCACTTAGCGGGCACGCAGCCCGCTCGTAGGGGGGTGGCTCTTGGGCGCAGGGTTCGTCGTTCCCCCCCCCCTCCCTCCCGCGACCACGCCCCCCACGATCCCCCCGTCCCCTCCTGCTACTCAGGATGTGCATACGCATTGATTTTTATTGCGCGTGCTACTCAGCACACCAGTCTTCACAATGCCACGGCTGACGAATCATTGCCTGCCGACGATCTTCCGAGGAAGTTCCCTCCCCACGAGACCCCGCTGGGCGCTCCCATCAGGAGGCGCCCTCCTTCCATCTTGGTCAGTGTCTCCACTAGGTCGGCCACTCGAGAGCCCAACTCAACGTCCCGGCGGAAGTGGTACATCACGAGAGCCTTGGGTGGTTTGCTTTCTATCTTCTTCAAGTTTTTGATCCGATAGGTGCCGCAGCAGCGAGGAGGGGGTTCTGGCGGCTCTCTGCAGCCACCACGGGGCTTTGGGAAGTGAAGCCCCCGATGGCTCGGTGGAACGAGCGGATCCACTGCGGCAGATTCCGAGGATGCAATTACTGCGCGCCACGGTAGCCGAGCTCTGGAAAGCCTCTCATCCCACTCCGCTGGTTTCCTTCCCCTGGCCCTCGTAGGGCCTCAACGAGAGACACCAGACGTAGAATGGGACGCCCTGTGGCTTGCGTTTCAATGAGCCTCTGCGGCTCCGGGCGTGCTGGAAAACGAAAGGCGACTGTCGAACAGCACTGCCGGCCAACGAAGGAGTAAATGGAGAAGCGGCGACCCGGGACCAGGCGAACAGCCCTCACCCGTTTGAGAAATGAGCTGCGCGGAATATTGGACCCGTGCAGTCCTGGAACTGTGGGATCACCAACTGTGACTGTCCAAGACGGGGCTGGTGAACGAGGCCAGCGAACGGGGGCCCCGGAGATCGTGGGCCAAATCGCCGCGTTTGGAGACGTCCGACAACAAAAATCCAAGCGACCCCAGCAAAGAAATGGATAGCCCCGCTGGGGGGGCCTTGAGCACTTTGGCTCGCTCTCGCTAAGGAGTAGCACGGGCGGCCTCAAGGCTTGTAGCATCTGGTCCCCCCTTCCCTTCTCAACTTCACACCTGCCTTCTTGCGGCGCACGCGGCTCGATCCTGCAATTCCGCACCCCGCTCTTCCGGGACTCACTGGGCGCGCCGAGCTGACCCGCCCGCGAGGGCGCGCGGGTGCCAATTCGAGGATGCACTCCAGCTCAACGTCCGACCCGTCGGCCCAGGGCCGACCCGCCAGCCCGCCCGCCCGACCCGACCCGCCCGTCAGGGCCCGCCCAGCGCGACCCGCCCAGCCCGACCCGCCCGCCAGGGCACAGGCGCGCCCACTCGATGATGCATCATGCTTGAATGTCCCGCCCGCCAGACCCGACCCGCCCTTTAGGGTACACGCGTGCCCAGTCGATGGTACATCAGACTTCAATGTCCCGCCCGACCCGACCCTCCCGTTAACGTCCGCCTTCCCGTCCCGACCCGCACGTTAGGGCACGCACGTGCAAATTCGATGACGCATCATTTGTTTAATGCCCCGCCGGCCCGAACCTATTAGCACGTTAGGGCACACAAGTGCCAACTCGATAATGCATTCGACCCGCCCGTGAGGGTCATCCCCCCCGCCCCGACCTTTCCATTAGGGCTTTCGCGTGCCAATTCGAACACGCATTCTATCTCAATGCCCCGCCCGCCCGACCCGACATCAACCGCTGGGGTTCGCCAGCCCGACCCGACCCGCCCTCGAGCGACAGTTCGATGACGCATCATACTTGAATGTCCCGCCAACCCCAGCCCGAACCGCCCGCGAGTGTCCGCCCGCCCGCCCCAACCCGCCCGCTGGAGCTTGCGCGAGCCAGTTCAACTACGCATCACGCGGTAACGTTCCTCACGCCCCACCCGACCCGGTTTGGCGCTTGCCCGCCGCGCAAGTCCTCCCATTAGGGCCCACGCGTGCGATTTCATTTGTCACCACCCTTTCAAGTTCCGCCCGCCCGAATCGGCCCGCGCATTCGCATCAACCCGCCCAGCCTCCCGTGGGCAAAGATAGGCCGCAGGGTCTCAAACAAAAGAGGCCGGCCGAGATACCTAGAGACCCCGCGTAGGTCTTCATTTTTCTCTGCGGGGGGGCGGCGTGCATTTTCCTGTAGATTTGACACTGCGACGGGGTTGGGTCGAGAGGCTGCCTCTCATGCCTCGGCGCAGCTGTTCGTCCTGGCCTTGCTCGTCCTTGTCTTCCTCATCGTGACAACTTGTTGCGCCTCCTCATCATCATCCTCTTTCCCATCCTCCAGCCCATCGCCATGAGTACGAGGAGGAGGAGGAGGTATGGGAGATACGGAGCAGGAGGAGGAGGAGAAGGAGGAGGAGCAGGAGGATGAAGAGGAGGAGAAAGAGGAGAAAGAGCAGGAGGCGGACGGGGAGCACGATCAGGAGAAGGAGGGGCAATAGGAGGAGCAGGAGAAAAAGGGGAAACGGCAAAAGGACGTGGATGATGATGATGATGATGATGATGATGATGATGATGATGATGATGATGATGATGATGATGATGATGATGCTGATGATGCTGATGCTGATGATGATGATGATGATGATGATGATGATGATGATGATGCTGATGCTGATGCTGATGCTGATGCTGATGCTGATTCTGATGCTGATGCTGATGCTCATGATGACGAGGAGGAGGAGGAGGAGGAGATGGAAGGAGGTGTGGAGGGCGAGAGAATGAGGATGAGGATGGTGATGATGATGATGCTGATGCTGATGATGATGAAGATTACGAGATGACGACGGTCGTAGTGGTGGTGTTTCTGCTGCTGCTGATGATGATGATGACGGTGAGTACGATGATGTGTACGATGCTGATGACTATGATGATGATGGTGGTGATGGTGCTGATGGTGAATGGTTAAGCTGATGATGATGATGACGATGATGATGATGATGATGATGATGATAATGATGCTGGTGATGCTGATGCTGATGATGAAGATGCTGATGCTGAGGATGATGCTGAGGATGATGATGATGATGATGGTGAACATGCCGTTTCTGATGATTACGATGGTGAATTTGATGCAGTTGACCGTGAGGGTGACGATGTTGATGGTGATGAGCATGATCATGATGATGATGAGGATGATGATGATGGTGGTGATGATGATGGTGATGATGGTGATGGTGGTGGTTATGATGCTGATGGTGATGATGGTGATGGTGATGATGATGATGGTGGTGTTTATAATAATGATGATGATGGTGATGATGATGATGGTAATGATGGTTATGGTCACGGTGATGACGATGATGCTGATGTAAATGATGATGATGATGATGATGATGATGATGCTGGTGATGATGTTGATCACAGCGAGGATCATGATGGTGACGGTGATGGTGGTAGTGGTGATGGTGAGGATGCCGGTTCTGATGCTGACGATGAGTGAATGTGATGCAGTTGTTAATGATGTTGGTGAAAATGGTGATTATGATAATGGGTATGATGATGTTGATGGTAATGGTGATGATGATGCTGGTGATGGTGACGGTGATGTGATGATGGTGATAATGGTGTTGGTGATGATGGTGATGGTGATGGTGGTGGTGGTTATGATGATGATGACGATGGTGACGGTGATGATGATGATGATGATGATGATGATGATGATGATGATGATGGTGGTCATGGTAATGATGATGATGATGATGATGGTGATGATGATGCTGTTGATGTTGATGATGATGGTGATGCCGTTGATGATGATAACGACGACGATGACGGTGCTTATGGTGATTGTGGTGGTGATGATTATGGTGTGGATGATGATTATCTTGATGATGATGATGATGATGATGATGATGATGCTGATGGTGATGGTGATGGTTATGACGATGATGCAAACGATGATATGATGATGATGGTGATGGTTGTGATAATGAGGCTGACGATGCTATGATGATGGTGATGGTGATGATGATGATGATGGTGGTGGTAGTGATGATGCTGTTGATGATGATGATGATGATGATGATGATGATGATGATGATGATGGTGGTGGTGGTGGTGGTGGTGGTGATGCTGCTGCTGCTGCTGATGATGATGATGATGATGATGATGATGATGATGATGATGATGATGATGATGGTGGTGGTGGTGGTGGTGGTCGTGGTGGTGGAGGTCGTGGTGCCGGGGAGGAGGAGCAGCAGGAGGAGGAGGAGGAGAAGGAGGAGGAGGGAGGAGGAGGAGGAGAAGGAGGAGGAGGAGGAGAAGGAGGGAGAAGGAGAGAGAGGGAGACGAGGAGGAGGAGGAGGAGGAGGCTAAGGGGGAGGAGGACGAGGAGGAGGAGGAGGACGAAGAGGAGGAGGAGGTGGAGGAGGAGGAGGAGGAGGAGAGAGCACGACTCTCGAGAGACCTCCCCTGGACCTCTGGGAGGTCTCCCGGGAGGCCTCCCCTGGTCCTCCTGGAAGTTTCTCATGAGGCCTCCCCTGGTCCTCCTGGAGGTCTCCGAAAAGGCCTCCCCGAGTCCTCCCGGGGCAGGCCTCCCGGAGGTCTCCCAGGAGACTTGTCCGAGGAGGGGGGGGAGGCCTCTCATAGGGTTCCCCTGGTCCTCCGGAGGTCGCGGGAGGTCTGGTGGACCAGGGGAGACCTCCGGGAGGCCTCCTATCCCTGGGCGGAGGTCCTCCTCGGGAGGTCATGGTGGAGGACCAGGGGATCCGAGGCCTCCGGGAGGCCTCCTGAGAGATCTCGTTGAGGACCAGGTAGTTCGCTACCCTCACCACGTGTCGAAGAGCAAGAGAATGCATAAACACAACTGCTGGGAGGCCCGTTCCGATTTCTTGGATCGGCGCTGGACCCCCCGTGGCCAGCGCGCGGAGTGCGCTACAGGGGCGGCGCCGGTCCGCCAGGGAATTCTCCAGCGCCGATCCAAGAAGCCGCGCTGCCCTCCGACAGTTGTCGTTTGTGCAGCTTTTTTTGTTCCTCGGGCACGGATCCCCTCCGTATTCTCCCCTGTTCTTCGCTCGGCCGGTCCCGCACGGCGGCCCCGGCCCCTTGTGCAGTCCCTTCCGCTTCGGGGGCTCCGTGCGCACACAGACTCAGACCACGACTGCGCGGCGCGCTCGCGCGCGAAGTTGTCGTCCCTTTCCAATGGCCTCATTGGGCGGGTAACAGCAAGGGCGCCCCCATGAAGGCGGGTCGTTCCTGACAGGCCGAGCAGTTTTGGTGATCGAGAGCGTGTTTCGGTTATTGCTGTCGGCCGCTGTCTACAAACCAGGAGTGGCATTACCCTGGCGTCCCTCAGGCTGGCCATAGTCGGGAAAACGTGAGACTCGAGTTCGCAGGAATTCGGGTTTGCGGAAGCTTTTTGACGAGCGCGTCTTGAATTTTGACGGTCCAGTTTTCATGGGATGTTTGCAGCGAGGGCTCACGTCAAGTTCCAGATCGGGTTGCATCGTTTTCCTGACGGCCCCGTCAGGCCAAGCCGAGCCCTCCGAGCCCGAGTCTTGCGTCTCCTCCCCGAGCTGCACCGCGCTACTACTGCTGCTGCTGCTGCTGCTGCTGCTGCTGCTGCTGCTGCTGCTGCTGCTGCTGCTACTGCTGCTGCTGCTGCTGCTGCTGCTGCTGCTGCTGCTGCTGCACTCAAGAGCTGATGCGGGGGGCGGGCCTCGAAGCTCCGCGCAGGGAGGCCGCCGGAGGCTCCCCCGTCGTCGTCGCAGCTCCGGCGCCCGGCCGGTGCTGCGGCTCTCGTCGGGCAGCCCCTTCCGCAGTTGGGCCCGCGCCGACTTGGCTTGGGGGCCCTGCCTTGGACTATGATGTTCCAACCCACTTTAGCCCTGATCGCCAGGAAAGAATTACGAGCACCAAGAACGTACCGAAGCTGGAGGGCTTTCACGTGTCGGGCCCTGGGAGGCGATACTCCTTCGACACTGTTTCGATACTCTTCTGGGTGCTCAAAATTTATTCTGGGATGTGGTCCGGAAGTACGATGGGACTAAGAGAGCTCCAGAGGCCCCCACCTCCAAAATAAAGTTTTGAGAAACCGCAATCCTCGATCCTGCTCGATCCGCGATCCTGCTCGGGTATCCTTGCTCTGTTCGATGCTCCTCGGGACGTTGTGGTCAGCCGATGTGCTTCCCCCGTGCAGCCCCGCAGAAAGCACGCAGCCTGTGTCTGCCCTCAGTGCACCGCCTGCGTCGTAGTGGAGGGCTTCGGTGGACAGGCACATAATTATCAGGAGGGGAAAAACACACATACACAATTAATCGGCGATCCTCAGAAAATATGGGAAAACATGGGAAGTGGGGGGGAAGACAGAAACCCAGAAAATATGGGAAAAGATGTGGAATATTTTTATTTGTGTGTATTTATTTGTGTGTCATGGGGCCCCTTCAAATTACGCTAACGCACGGTCTGAGGATCTTCGACTTGCGCGTGCCGCCTCATCACTGCTCTTTGGGGCCCCTCCCTAGCCCCCCCGCGTCCAAACCCTCGCCGAGCGGCGCGCGCATCCGCAGCAGTGAATCGGACGACCGGGAGGAGCTGTTAGCCTCTGGGCACAGGGAAGGAGAGCGACCAGTGGCAGTCGAGGGGGGAGTACGAAGAAGAAGAGGAGGAGGAGGAGGAGGAGGAGGAGGAGGACCGATGTTCTACGTTCGAGGGCCGATGTTTGACGTTCGAGGGTCGACGTTCGTGTGTGCCATTCTGTCTCGAGCACGCCCTGTGCCGAGCCGACTGTCCGGTCCCTGCTGCGCCTTGGCCAGCTGGGTGCCGCCTGTGGGGCAGCTGGCCGCGGGCAGCGCGCATAACCCAGACATCCGACGCCGTGATCGTTTCGCAGCGTGGCCCCTCTCGGGGTCTGGACCCCCTCCCGGGGACCGGCGGCGGCTCGTCCCGAGTCGCTCCTGGAAGGCCCCGGGGCCCGGTGCTGGGCCCCCCTTGGGATCGAAGATGCCCAAGATGTGTCCGCTGCCGCGGCGCGAGGATGTCAGGGCGGCAGGATGTAGCAGGCGGTCGGTGCCGCTGCCCCTCCGCGGGCGGCGGCGCTGACGCCGACGCATCCGCGCGCGCGGCAATGGTGGGCCTGCTCGGCGCCCCACCCCTCTCGGAGGCGCCCGCGGGCACCATCAGCGACGGGCTCGCGAGCCACTACACGTCCCTGGCCGATGACGCCGGCGCGGCAGCCGCTGTGCGGGAGGCGGCGATGTTGCTGGCGGTGGCCGAGGTCCGGGGAGGGAAAGCCACCCCGACGCCCTGTACGGTGGGTGCGTGCCGTGTCGACGCGGCGGCGTCCCCAGCGCGGGCGTTCAAGGTTGAACGCCGCCAGTGGCCCCAGGATCGGCCGACATCGAGCGGTCTGCGCTGTCGATAAGCCGCGATCGTTCAAAGCTGATCGATCCAGGCGGTGTCAGAAACCAGCGCGCAAGCCGCCACGACACAAGCCTGCCGCAGCTGTGGTTCGTTGAGCCTCCGGGGCGTTTGCTGAACACCCCTGCCATGTGCAGCTCCTTCCTCGAGCGCGTTCCCTGGAGGGTCTCCTCTGCAGGGGTGCCTGCTGTGAGGGTGCTTGCTCTGCCCTCCACGAGGGCCACCTGGAGGAGAGCGAGGACCACGAGGAGGCGCTGAGGTCCGCCTGGGGCGCGCTGCGGCTCTTCCGTGAGGCTGGCGACCTCCACGGCGTGGCCGACGCCTCGCGCGCCGCCGTGCACTCCCGCCGCCTCAGGGCCCGGGAGGAGCGGTGTGGCCCGCGCGGCCTCCAGGGCAGGCTGGTGGCCCTGGAGGACGGGCACCAGAGCAGGGACAGCTACCCCTATCGCTACCCTTGCCTCGCGTTCGCCTTGTGTTTGTTGGCCTCCTTGGAGGCCCTCGTCGCCATGGCTGGATGCGCCTCGAAGTGTTGGCCAGAACGCATCCCAGGAAAGGTCCTGGGGGTGGCGGTATGTCGAGCCCTTCCTGACTTTCCCAGGGTAGGGCCGTTGCCGCCCCAAAGATCGAAGAAGAAGAAGAAGAAGAAGAACAAAAAACGGCACACGCATACACTGTCGGAGCTCCGCGCGGCCCTCCGAACGCGTATGCTCATCCCGATCTTTCTGCTTCCACTACAAGCATCAAGCCCTGGAAGGGCGATTTGTGGGGCCGCGGCGGAGCCAGCCCAGGACAGGTCGGCTCCGCCGCAAGGGCGGCGGCCTTACCGGGCCGCCTCGCGGCTGGCCTGGCCAAGGCCCAGCCCCCTTTGTCCGAATGGCTTCTCGGGATTTCTTGTGGAGCAGCAGCGCTCCGTGTCCGCTGGAGGAGGCGCGCAGGAGGGCCGAGGCCGAGCTGACGGCGTTCAAGGCCGCCCGCGACAGGCGGGGCGAGGCCTGCATGCTGCTCTCGGTGGCGGAGGTGGCCTGCGACGAGGGGGGGCCGGACCGCCTGCAGGAGGCCCTGGCCGTCGCCTCGGAGGCCAGGGCACTGCTGAGGGAGGCTGGGGACGACCGGGGGCTGGCCCTCGCCAGCCTGGCGGTCGCGGCCTGCCAGGTCGAGAGGTGCGCGGCCACGGAGGCGCGCGAGGCGGCGACCGAGGCGCTGCAGTTGTTCCGGCGGCTGGGGGACAAGAGGCGCGAGTGCAGGGCCTTGCACGCGCTGTCCGTCGCCATGAGTGTGGGGCCTCTGACGGCCGTCACGATGGAGGCTGGCCTCCAGGCCGCCCGGGACGCCCACCAGGTAGCGCAGGAGCTCGGCGCGCGGAAGATCCAGGCCCACGAGCTCTACTTCGTTGCGGCCTGGCACCTCATGATGGACAAGCCTCAGGACGCGCTGCCCCCAGCGAAGCAGGCGGCCGAGCTGTTCGGGGAGCTGCGGTACGGCAGAGGCTGGCAGCCGCTGGCGCAGGGCGCGGTCGTCGGCGCTCTGGCGGGCATGGGCGAGCAGCAGAAGGCCGTGAACGTGGCCAGCAATGCGGTGAGCAGCTCCCAGGCGCAGGGAGACAGGAGGAGCCAGGTGATCGGCCTGCACGCCCTGGCGGCCGCCCACCTGGCGGCCCCGGGGCCCACGGGCGCCGCCGAGGCGCTGCGGGTGTGCGGCGAGGGCATGGAGCTGTGCCAGCAGCTGGGGGAGCTCAAGTGGGAGGCCGGCATGCACCACGCCGCGGCGCAGGCCAGCCTGGGCCTGGGCCGCCAGGGGGACGCGGAGGCGGCCGCGCACGACGCCGCAGCGATGCTGCAGGCGCTGGGCGAGCAGGCCGAGCGGGCGGTGGTGCTGCACACGCTGGTGGGCGCCCTCGTGGAGGGGGGCCAGCCCGCGAGGGCGCTCGGCGTGGCCTCGCAGATCCGCGGCGCCTACCGGGAGCTCGGCCAGAGGAGGGCCGAGGCCGGCGCCCTCCTCCTCGAGGCCGCCCTGCAACTGCACGCGGGGGGGGCGGACGCCGCGCAGGAGGCGCTGGAGTTGGCCACGGAGGCGCAGGGCGCCTTCATGGGCGAGGAGGACCTGGCGGGCGAGGCTGCTACGCGGGGCCCTGAAGATCCTGGTCTGGCGATCGGGGTTCGCCGATCGATCAGGATCGGGGCAGCCGATCGGATCCTCGTTCAGAAGGGTGCCCAGCTCGTTGGTCTTGATGGGGCTTGTTGGATCTGGATCGGGACGGTGCTCCCTCATCTCTCTGGACGCCCGGGGCGTGGGCCCCACGAGAAGGTGCCAGAGATCTCCTCACGAGGTGGCCATGCGGCGGTCTGCTGCGAGGGCTGTCGAACAGGCAGCGAGGCGAGCACCTACTGGGGGGCTGGGCCTGGGCTCGCACAGAGCTTGATCGGGGCGATTTTGAGGTGGGGCCTGATCGTGTGGCTGCGGCACACGCAGGGGCAGCAGGAGGAGGTGCTGCGCGCCCTCAGAACGCAGCGGGCGCTCCTGCGGCGCGCCGGCGACGCCGCGGCCGAGGCCAAGGCCTTGTGTTCTGCGGCGCAGCTGCTGGCGGAGGGGGGAGACCTCGACCAGGCCGCAGGGCTCTCGGGCGAGGCCGCCCGTATGGCCAGGCACGCCGGCGCCGCGAGGACCGAGGCGGAGTCGCTCGTGCTGCTCGCGCAGTGTAGGCTCGCGTCGCTCTGCCAGGCCGCGGACGCGGCGCCGCCGGATCAGGCCGGCAGGGTGCTCTGCGAGGGCGAGGGCCGAGCCCTGCGCCCCGCGCGGGAGGCGGCGGTGCTCGCGAGGAGCTTGCCGGACAGCGCGCTCCTCGCCGCCGCCCTCAGCGCGTGCGCGCAGGTGCACGTGGTGATGCGCAGGGGCACCTCCGCCATCGGCCTGGCCCGGCGCGCCTGCAGCCTCTTCAGGGAGCTCGGCGACGCGCCGCGCGCGGCGGAGTCCTTGCTGCTGTCCGCCGAGGGCGGCTTCCAGTGCGGCAGCTGGCAGCGGGCCGAGGAGGAGGCGGCGGAGGCTTGCAGCATTTTCGAGGAGGCGGGAGACCAGCACGGCCAGGACAGGGTCGCCCAGGTCCTCGAGCGGCGCGACGCCATGGCCACCGTGGCGACGGCAGGGGCTGTGGAGCGCGGGGGCGCGCCGCTGGGGGTGCGGCACGGGGGCGGCGCCGAGGCGTTGACAGCCGCGGGGGAGCTGGCCGAGGCCGAGGCCAAGCCCGCCTCACCAAAGGAGGAGCCAGGTCTCGGGCTCGCCGTCGCCCTGAAGATGACCCAGACCGCCGCGCTGGAGGCCATCGGCGACACAGAGCTCGCCGAGGACTTGGACCTCGACAGCCCGCTGATGGACCTCGGTCTCGACAGCCTGGCCAGCATCTCCTTCAGAGAGGACCTCGTGCAGGCTTCCGGCCTCAAGCTGCCCTCCTCCCTGGCATTCGACTACCCGTCCGTGCTGGCCGTCGCGGCTCACATGGTGGAGCTGAGCAGGGCATGATTGACGGGGCGGTATTGCTCTGGCCTCCGCCGAGGAAAGATCTCCTGGGCTTCTCTCTGAGGGTATCGAAGAAGCGGGTCGCTTCCCAGAGGGCCTGCGCTGGCCGATGGGCATCTCATGTCGTGGCACGTGCCGCTGTGAGCGTCTGAGTGGGAGAGTCTTAGCCTTAAGCCAGCGTGTCCTTCTACAGCGGGAACATGCACAAATATTCAAAAGCTAGTCCGGGGACGATTATTTGACTATTTTGAATATATATATATATATATATATATATATATATATATGTGTGTGTATGTATATATATATGTTGTTTGGTTTCTGGTTTTGAAAAATGTTCGTCCAACATTCGCCTGTAGGGGGAAATGCCCGACCTACTAATCTTAGCCTTTGGCGACGGAGCGTTGCCTGGCGGCTCCCCCATTGGGGTGCCCGAGCGATGTGCCTGCCAGACCGCGGTGGTCATGGGGGTCTGGAAAATCGAGGGAGGAAAAACCACCCGCACCGGATATGGCGTTCCCTGGGCGTTTACTAAAAGCCCTGCCCTGTTCGATTTCTTATTTGGGTGCGTTTACTAGACGGCCTCGCTTGTCGGGGTGGTTGTTGTGAGAGTGGATGTTCTGCCTTCTAAAAAAGAAAGGAGTCGGGTTATGGCCAGGACCCCAGGTGAGGGGACCCGGTTAGTAGCAGGACCCCTGGAGCCCCAGCTCCTGAGTTGAGTAAACCAGGTCTGCCGTAGCTGATCGTTTTTCGGGTGACGGCAGTTCTGGTTAGTGGAACGGGGCGGGAGGGGCGTCCCCCAGCACACAGCACTAAACCAGGTCCCACTAAACACAGTTCTGCCAACGCCCGAAGGGAGTCGGGGGGGGCCAAAACCAGCGGTTTGCTTGAGACATCCGCACAATCTGCGCGCGGACGGGCAAGTGGGCAAGTGTCGTGCCCCCTTGGCGGTTCCCCCTGGGGGTGCCCAAGTGCTCTGCATCTGTATGTGAGTGGTCTGAGCGTGGTGAGTCCTGTGTGAGTTAGTCTGAATGTGAGTGGGTCTGAGTGCGAGTGAGTCTGAGCGCTGTTGAGTCTGAGTATGAGGGAGGCCGAGTGTCAGTGGGTCTCAGCGGTGAGTCTGACCCTGGTTGAGTCTTAGTGCGAAGGAGCAGTGTGTAAGGGGTCTGTGCGCATGAGACTGAGTGTGACTAACCTGGGCACGCGTGGAGCCGAAGGTGAGTAGGGGGAAGCAGATGAGAAGGAAGGAGGGGGAAGAAGGAAGGTGTGGGGACGCCAGAAGAGCGATTCGCTTGAGACATGCTCACGGTGTGCGCGCGAACGTGCAAGTTTCATACACCTTGGCCTTTCCTTCGCGGGGTGCCGAAATGCCGCCCATACTGCACCGCAGTGCTCATGAGGTTCTCGGAAGAATCGGCGGCGAGCGAGCGAGCGAAGGGGGGGAAGTGAGAAGGAGAAGGCCTTCTCCGAAGGCTCGGAAGTCCCCCGGCCTTCTGAGAAGTTGTCTAAGCCTTTCCCGAAGACGCGAAACGCCTCTCGGAAGGCCAGAGGAGCCCCGCCGCCCTCTGAGGTGGCCTGCTGCTTCTCTCGCCTCCTCCCCTCGCTCGCCGCCGAAAGAATTCCACAAGCCGTGCGCGAACGCAGGCCACCAGGCAGGCAGGCGGCCCCTCCCTGTGGTGCCCCTCCCTGGCGGTGCCCGGGCGCCACGCCTGCGGCACGGCTGCGGCCAAGCAGTTCTCGAGTCGCTCCGCGCAGCCCCGCCAGCCCATGCGGAGACGAAGGCCCAGGCGAGTTGCCCCGGTCAGGGATGTGGAGGATCAAGAGGGTAATTAAAAGCACACAGACACAATTCATGGTCGGTTCCCCCGAAAAATATGGGAAAATATGGGACGTGGGGGGAAGACAAAAACCCTGAACATATGGGAAAGTGTGGGGACTCCTGTTATTTATGTGTGTCTACTGATTTGTGTGTCCCAGGGCCCCTTCAGAGGAGCGCGCAGTGGAAGAAGGGGACGGGGAAGCCGTCATGCCCCAAGCGGGGGGACTCCCCCGCTTCCATCCTCCGAGGATGGAAGAGGAATCGGAGAAGGAGGAGGAGGGGGAGGGGGAGGGGGAGGGGGAAGCGGGAGGAAGGAGGAGGAGGAGGAGGAACAGGCGGAGGAGGAGGAAGAGGAGGGCGAGCAGAATGGCCAGAGGCCTCTGGGATGCCTGTCGGAGTCTACTCGCATGTCTCTTGACAACGTTTTGAAGTTCTCTTCGGGCGTCCTGAGGGCCTCGTGGCGGTCCTGGAGCCCTCTTGGGGCCTCTTGTGGGTTTCGTGGGAGCCTCTTGGGAAACTCTTGGGGGCCTCTTGGGGCCTCCAGGGTGCCTTTTTGGGGCCCTCTTGGGGCACTCTTGAGAGCCTTGGGAGCCATCCTGGTGCCATCTTGGAGGAGATCGGTCAAAGAAGAGGGGGAGGGCTCAACTAGGCGCCGCCCTCCAAGGAGGCCAACATGCGCTTTCAAAGTTCAAGGAAAATCCATGATTCGCGCATTCTCGCCCAGGTCTTTTTGGACGCTCCCATCGGACGCCCAGATCCAGCGAAAGGGGGTATGGGGGATGGGTGAGCAACCAAGCAGGTGTCACTCCTTCGTGGCGGCTGCTCCTTGGGGTGCCCAAGTGTCACGCCAGCTATATCGCGGTGACCAGGGTGCTTTCAACAAATATCGTGCGAGCGAGTCTACATGCGCGTGCGTCCGAGTGCGAGTGGGTTTGGGTGTGACCACATGTATGCGCGTGCCTGTGAGCATGTTCTGAGTGTGCGTATGGCTATGTTGGGTATGACCGTGTCTGAGTGCGACCGAGTCCGAGTGTGAGTGAGTTCGAGTATGAGGGGTCTGGATACCAGTGAGTCTGGGTGTGTGAATATGATTCTGAGTGGCCTGCGGCGGCATCAAACAACCAAAAATAACCATACTCTGGATATTGGGGAAACTACAGAAGTATCCGCCTTCCAAAGTCAACGTGGATGTCTGGATCCTCCACACAGATCCAAGAGATCTGTGTGGCCCTTCGCAAGTTGTGTTTATGCTGTTGCTGCGAAGTTCTTACGGCCAGTGCCGCCGACCCTGAAGGACGACGACGACGACGACGACGACGACGACGACGACGACGACGACGGCGAGGGCGGCGGCGGCGGCGACGGCGACGACCCGAAGACAATGACGCTCTGGAGCCCTTCGTGGGGCCCAGGGCTCTCTTGGGAGCATCTTGGGCCCTGCTGGGTGGCCTCAGGGGGACTGCGTAAAGCCGTGCCGATGTTGTTAATATTTCTTCCGGTCGAGCCTCGGAAGTCCCACGGATGGCCCCGGCGCGCTCGGACAACCTGGGGCTCAGCGGACCGTGCTGCCAGCAGAACCGCGCGAGCCGTTGTCAAAGGAGGCTGGGAGCCGTTTCCCTGTGATCGTCACTGCCAGCACCTCGAAGAACGAACAAAAACTGCATAAACACGAGCCGTCGGCGCTCCGCGCTGATGCCTTCGATCGGCGCTGGGCCCCCCTGGCAGCGCCTCCGACGCCGCGCTCCGCGCGCCGTGGAGGGGGGTCCAGCGCAGATCCACGAAAGTCGCGCGGACTTCCAGCTGTTGCTCCCTGCGGTGCCGTCCTCGGCTGCGTTCCGGGGTCCGCTGCGATCTGATCGATCCGACCCTCGGCGTCGAGCCCGGGGTGTAAGTGAGAAGGGGCGGGCCTTCTCAGAGGCCTCGGAAGGCCCCCAGACTTCTGAGAAGTGTTCTAAGCCTCCCCCGAGGACACAGAAAACAAACTTCTCGGAAGGTGCGAGGGCGTCTGAGAAGTCCCGCCGCCTTCTGAGAAGGCCTTCTCCCTCTCATTTCCCCCCCCCTCTCGCCGCCAAGTTCCGATGTCGATTCCAGCCGGCACGGTCCGCTTCGATCTCGACATTCGGGCGCCCCGGTACGGCCCGATGCCTGCGTGGCGTTGCTGTGCGTCTTGGCACGGCCGGATCTGGCTCGGGCCCGACCCGGTGCCGAGGCGGCCCGATGCAGCGCACGATGCAGTCCGAGGTCTCGATGCGATGCTGCCGGGTCCTGGCGTGTTCCCGGTGGTCTCTGCGCTCCTGGGGGCCGCAGAGGTACCCAGAATCGTAACTTCTCGGAGGCCCGCGCGGGTCCCTTGGGGATCGGCGCTCGGCCCCCGCTGGCGCGCGGAGCATCGCCAGATGCGGGCACCAAGAGTAAACACCATTACCACGTCGATTCCTCCTCCCTCCTCTACCCTCTTCTTCGTCACCTCTTTCCTGTTAGAGGGAGGGCGTGAGGGAGGTGGTGGTGGTGGTGTATATGTGTGGGCCCCGAACCAGAGGCGTCGCCAGGAGGGGCCGCGTGCGGATCCAAGGGGCCCGCGCGGACCTCCGAGAGGTTGTGGTCAGGAACTTTGGAGTAGCGTGTCGCGCTGCCGGCTCTGGCCCACCGCGTTTCGGTGCGATGCGCCGTCTGGAGTCTGGGGCCCGGTCTCCGGGCGTCAACGTCACGGGCTCTTCCCAGCCTCCCGCCCCGCGAAGCGCGCCGACGCGCTGTGCCCCTTGCAGGGCGCAGCGTATCGCCGGGGCCGCCGCAGCGACACGACTGGCGAGAGTTCCTGAGCGTGTGCCTGTGCCGTGTTTTGCTCCCCTGAGCATGGCGGCGGGGAGTTTCGGACGGGGCTAGGACGAGGATAAATCTCGGAGGCGACGATGGGGGCGAATAGATCAGGGGAGAGCATTACGCGTACCCCTCCGGGAGCCTCGCTGAAGGCATTGAACATCGGCGCCCCTGGATACATGTATTGCTCCCCCCTGGGCTATTCGCCCCTTTCGTCGCCTCCGAAAATCCGTTCCAGGGCGTTGTTCCGGACTGCTCTCCGAAGTTCCCGAACGCTCTGCGAGGGCCGCGGCGCCCGAGACAGCTTCCAGAGCCGCCGCATCTCAGCGATTCTCGACTTGTCCTCACCCGAGTTTATCCTCGTCCTGGCTTCGTCGCAGATCTGCTCTAAGCCGCCGTGCGCCAGTGCGTGGCCTGCGCTCCGGGCTCCGCACGGCCCGCGGTGGTCCCCATCGGGGCAGTCGCTGCGCGTGCGGTCCCGTGGAGGGGGGCGGGCGGCAGCGGGGGTGGCAGCAGGGCGGGTCCGAGGTGCGCGCGGAGGGGCAGCTGTCTCTGGCAGCTGGAGTCGGGGCAGCCATCTCTGACAGAACTGATTTGCCCCCGAATTGATTTGTTCCGTCGCGCATGCGAGAAGTGCGCGGCGTGCTCCGTAGATCTACGAACATTCTACGCTTGTTTGTTGCAGACTCGACGGGAGTCAATTCTAGGGTAAAGCAGTACTGCAGTCGATCCCCTACTCGAGCACTGACAGTGCTCGAGTAGGGGATCCGCTCTCCCATCCGCTCTCCTGCAGCCTCGCCGTGGCACGGAAGAGGAGTGAGGGGCATCCCCCCTTCCTCACTCTTTGTCTGCAGCGTCACTCATCCTCACTTCACTCCTCATCCCCTGTCCCCCTCCTCTTCTGCTTATACCTCCCCATCTGCAGCCATTTTGGCTCAACTCATCCGGAGCGCTCGCCACCAGCCATCAAGCAATGGGACTCGACGACGTCATTGCGAAACAGCCCGCGGGGAGCCATGCCAAATTGAAGGAGCTCCACGCCGAGCATTGCTTCACGGAGGAGGACCGTGAGGTGCAAACTATACCCCAAGTAGCACCGATCCAGGCCAGTCTAATCCTGGGCCCAGGATAGGCTTTGCCGGGACATGTGCGTCGTATGTGTGTGCTTGTGTGTGTGGGGATGTGTGTGTGGTGTGTTTGTGGTGTGTGGTGTGCGTGCGTGTGTGTGTGTGTGGTGTGTGGTGTGTGGTGTGTGGTGTGTGGTGTTTGGTGTGTGGTGTGCGGTGTGTGGTGTGTGGTGTGTGTGTGTGATGTGTGTGATGTGTGTGTGATGTGTGTGTGTGTGTGATGTGTGTGATGTGTGTGATGTGTGTGATGTGTGTGGGTGTATGGGTGGGTGTGTGGGTGTGTGGGTGTGTGGGTGTGTGGGTGTGTGGGTGTTTGGTTGGGTGAGTGTATTGGTGGGTGGGTGGGTGGGTGGGTGGGTGTAGCTGACGTGCTCCTGGAGGACCTGGATTTCTTCGTGACTGCACATGGGCAGCTCGACGCAGGGCGCCTCGCAGAGTTCGGGAAGTTCCTGGAGTCGAAGACGCTGCCGCAGCGCGGCGCCGCCAAACGCAGGGGCCTCCTCGCGTCCGGGGCTCTGCGCACGCAGGCGCTCAGCATGCTCGGCGGGGGCGCTGGCGGCCTCCCCCCCGCCGGGCCCGCCGGGGCCCGCGAGGTGGTGACGCCTGCCTCGAAGAGGCTGCGGACAGACCGGGACCGGGACCTCGCGGGGGAGGCCGAGTTCGTCTCCCCGGAGCCCGTCAAGAAGCCGCAGTACAGGTTCACGCCCAAGTCCTCGGTCTCCGGCGGGGACCCTGGCGGCGAGAAGCGCGAGGGGCCGACGGCCGCGGAGGCGGCGCCCGCCGAGGTGCGGCTCCTGGGGGACCCGGCCCTGTGGACTGGCAGGCGGCGGGAGGCATTCAGTTGGATGGACGAGTCGCTCGAGGACAGGGCCGCGGAGCGGGACCGGCGGCTCTCGTTGGTGGAGGGCCGCATCGTCGCCGCGCTGCAGGCCCGGCGGGGCGGCGAGGGCGTCGGGCTGGGGCGGGTCGGGGCCCCGGCGCAGGCAGAGGTCGCCCTGTGCGGCCGCATCGTCTGCGAGGGCCTCGACGGCCGCCTCAACGAGCGCTCGATGCTGCTGGAGGGCTCGCGGGCGTCGGCGAACGGCGCCAGGGTGCAGCTCAGCGTGGCCGACTGCGAGAGCCTGGCCGCCTTCCCGGGCCAGATCGTTGGCGTGCTCGGGAGGAGCGGCTTGATGGGGACCACCTTCCACGCCAAGGAGCTTGTTCCGGGCATCCCGCCTGCGCCAGTGGCGGCGAGGAACGAGCGGCCGGTGCGCATGCTGGTGGCAGCTGGGCCGTTTTGCCTGCGCGACGATCTGGATTATACTCCGCTGGAGCAGGTGCTCGAGCACGCCGCCAGGGAGAGACCGCAAGTCCTGGTCTTGATGGGGCCCTTCCTGGACGCAGGCAACCAGAAGGTCCTCTCTGGGGAGACCCACCTGCCAGGCAGCGACGAGCCCTGCGCTTACGAGGAGTTCTACGGGCGGCGCCTGCTCCCCCTGCTGCGCCGCGGGCTTGCGCCCCTGCGACAGGGGACCTCGCCCGTGGAGGTCCTGATCATACCATCGCTTGACGAGGCGGCGTGCTTCCACCCCATGCCGCAGCCGCCGCTCGACGTGGCGCTGGAGCCGCTGGGCCTGACGGACGCCCTGCAGCCGCTCCGAAGGATGGGCGTCAAGTTCCTGCCCAACCCCGCGCACGTGCAGGTCAACGGGCTCTGCGTGAGCATCACGTCCGCGGACGCGCTCACCCCGGTCCTCCGAGAGATCGTGCTGAGGCCGCAGGGCAAGAAAATTGAGGAGGCCCACCGGCTGCTGCTGCGGCAGCGCTGCCTCTTCCCAGTGGTGCCGCGGGACCCCGCACAGATCTCGGAAAAGAGGGCAGCGGCGCTCGACTTCCCTGACCTACTGGAGCCGGACGTTTGCGTCTTCCCCTCCCTTTCCGGCACGCCGACTGGGGCCTTCGTCGACGGCTCGGTCTTCGTGAACCCCGGGTCGTGCGGGAAATATTCCAATCCTTTTGCAGCGCGCCTTGGAGAAGGGGCGCATCAAGGCTAGGGCGCACTGGGTATGGGAAAAAGCCGAGCCTCTGGGGCCAGCTATGTATCCATATCCAGTGCGCCTCGGGTTTGCGGGGAAGGGAGCCCGAGACTCCAAGCTGCAGTGGATCCAGACCGAAGCTTGGGACACGAAGAATGGCATAAAAAACTCGGAGGTCCGCGCGGATTTCTCGGATCGGCGCTGGACCCCTCTCCTTGGCGCGCGGAGCGCGCCAGGGGTGGCGCCGCAGGAGCTGCCAGGGGGGTCCAGCGCGGATCCGAGATACCCGCGCGGACCTCCGAGTTTTTATGTTTATGTCATTCTTCGTTCCCTTACGTGGAGTGGGGGCCGAAACTCCAAGCTGCAGTGGATCTGGACAGAAGCACGTCTTGTGATGGGTTTGTCTTCCACCACCACCACCACCACCATGAGTTGGAGGGGGAGAGGGTCCTCCTCCACCTCCTCCTCCACCTCCTCCACCTCCTCCACCTCCACCTCCTCCTCCTCCTCCTCCTCCTCCTCCTCATTCTCCTCCCCGTCCTCCTCCTCGTCCTCCTCCTCCTTCCCCTCTCCAACTTCTGGTGGTGGGGATGGTGGAAAACAGGCCCATCGCATCGCCCGCAGGTCGCTCTGCCGGCCAGCCGCCCTCGGCACCTTTGCGGACCTGCGCGTGGCGCCGTGCGGGCCGGCGCGGGACGCCGCCGACGGGGCCGGGCTGCGCGGGCGGGCCCGCGTGGACGTGTTCCACGTGCAGGTGCAGAGCTGAGCGGCCACGCGCAGAGGGGGGGGTACGGGGCGGGGGGGGGTAAAGGCGCTTCTCAGAAGGAGACTGCTTCTCAGAGTCGGGGAGGCGTACACGGGATGGGGTCAGCCGGAGCTCGAGTTGGCCGGCGCGTTTTGGCGAGCGCGTCCAGGATGTTGACGCTCCCGTTTTCGTAGGGGCCCTTGCAGCGGGAGCTCGCGTCAAATTCCAGATTGGGCCTCGTCATTTCGAAGATGGCCCCGTGAGGCCAAGCCGAGCTCCGAGTCGTATGTCTCCCCGCTGGGAGGCGCTGGCCTCTTACCCCCAATGCTACCCCGTTGCGCGCGCCGCTGAAGGGGGCGGCTGGGCTCCCCGCGGGGGGGGGGGGTCGGCGGGCTTGCAGCTCGCGGGAGGGCCCCCTCGAGGCGACGGCGGCCCTCCTGGGCTTTTTGGGCGCCCGCTCCGGGCCTCCCGGAGGCTTCTCGTCGCCACGGCCGGGCCTCCGGGGGCCGAGGGTGAGCCGATGTCTGGGCCAGGCGGGAGAGCCGGCGTTGCCTCGGCCGGCCATCCTCCTTGGGCGCCGCGTAATGGGGGGGTCATAAATGGGGGGGTGTCGCGGGTGGTCCGAATAGGTACCCGAACGGTACCTAAACGAGCCCCCTGGGGTTCCGGAGGGGCCCGAAAGGGGCACGAAAGGGGACCTTTTCTGACCCCCCCATTTGTGACCCCCCATTACCTAAGCCACGCCCAACCTCCGAGCGGCGCAACGGACTTGCCACGGGGATGGGCGTGGCTCGGCGTGCGCTCTGTCGCTTCCCGCTCGGGCTGTCGTCGTTCTTGCTTCCCTTCCCTGCCCTGCCCTGCAGACCGCTGGCCTCAGTGGGCGCACTGGAAGTGGGCAAGGTCTTACTGACCGCGCGGTCAACGCTCAAGCGCGGCATAGCCAGGGCTGCGGCGTGCGATGGGGGACGCGCACGCCTGTACATGTATCGCTACGGCGTGACTCCAAAAACTCATCATCCTGCTCGCCTTGGTTTGTACCAGGGAAGGAATGCGACTCAGTCGCTACTCGAGAGGTCAGCCACCTAATTACCGTCACTGGTGTTTGTGCCATCTGTCGCGCACAAAGAGGCGTCAGCGGATATGGGCTTGAGAATGATGCGAGCGGCCATGCTGTTCACAGGGCCGCTGGCTGATACAGGGAGACGCGCTTACACCATATTGGCCAAATAGATCGGTGCAGGTCATTGATTGCACGTCCCTGCACGCTACCGACCTGATCGAAAGTTGCCATGGGCACTGGGGTTGGGAAGCAGAAAACTTGTGGACCTTGCCGTTTGGAGCGAGATGGGGGTGGATTTCTTGTCTTGGCGAACAAGTGGTGTAAAGACCCGACGTCCAGCACTAAGTCGGAACATGTGGACCGAGACCTCGTGATCGTGTCCTCCCTTCACGTCGTGTCGCACTCCCTCTTCACGCCAAGGCACCCCAGCACCGCTCCGCTGCCCTAGCTCACGACACCTCGACTTGGACGTCGTGAAAAATACGCGAGCGACCCGTGTGAGGGTGCAGCCGCCGACGAGAGGGGCCTCGCGGGGCCGACTTCTGTCCTCTTGGGGCCCATTGTCGGCCTTGGGCACCTCCAGAGGCCCGCGCGGGCATCAATTCGTGACCTCCTGGGCCACCTTGGTACACTCTTGGAGCCCTCCTCGGTCCTCCCTGTCTGCTCCGTGGCCGTGCTGGAAGCGCCTCGAGACGAAATGTTGGGGGGCCGAAGAGATCACTGAAACCAGAAACCTGCCAGAGTACCTAGCAGAAGGGTCGAGCAACCACCCCCGCATTAACCAGAGCAGCGCGTGTGCTAGAAGCCCGAGCTCAACATCGGCCAGCAGTGGGGCAAGGATGCGACTGCTCTGTTTCAACCGAACCAAGACTCATCATCCCCACGAAGCTTCCATGTCCATTCCTAGACAGGACGTTTCCTCGAGTGCTGAGTTGTTCCCCCGCAGAAACCTTTTGCCGCTGCGCGGGCGGTGTGCTGCTCAATTCTTTTGCTTCAAGCCTGCGGCACCGAAGACACCGCTGCGATGCCCTCACTGACAATTCGGCTGTCGGTATGGCTTCCCTCTCATGTGGCGAACGCGATCTTCCCAGGCAGACTGTTCAAGCCCCCCACCCGCCCCCCTCCCTCCCTCCCTGTCACATGCTCTTCCCATGCAGCCCCCCTGCCCTCCCTCTCCCCACCTCTGCCCGCCCTCCTCCTCCGCGGCCACCTCGCCCTCCGACCCCGCCGGCATGCCCGCTGCCACGCAGGCTCGCGAGCCGCGCGGCGCGGAGGCCGAGCCCCCCCCCCCCCCCTTCCCCGCATCCGCCCCCCTCCACCTCCCCGGACCTTCCAGAGTGCCCAAAAATACCCCATCCAGACCTGCACACCTCTCCCCGGACCTGCGGCGTCCTGATTTTTTCAGGACGGCGTCCCTGGAAATCCCGACATTTTCCCCGGGACCGATTTCTCATCCCATGAGTCGTTTTTGTTGACCGTCTCCGGGGCCCGGCGAGGGCCCCCCAGGGCTGAAAATCAGAAAAAATATCCCGTCCTGATTTTCTTAATTGCAGACGCCATAATGTCTGGGTCTGGACTGCTTACTCGACAGGAATTTGGACGCCAAGGTCCTGGCTCATCTAGCCCTCGTGGGAGGTCCGGGCACCTCGCCCTTCTGCGCCGGGCGCAAGCGCGCCACGGGCCCGCGGGCCTGGCCATGCCGGCGCCCGCGCCGGCCGCGCCACTAAGCCCTGCGCTGTGCAGGCTGGCGCGCGGCCTGCAGGGGGCGCTGAACGGCGGCGGGGAGCGCGAGGGCCTCTGCCTGCGGTCCGACGGCTTCGGCCGGCTCGACGAGCTGCTCTCGCTGGGCTGCATGCAGGACATCGGTGGTTCCCAGCCGGGGTCCTGAGGGATGGGGTCCTACAAGGATAGGAATGGATCCAGGGGTGGGTTTGCGTTGTTCGGGGCACCCCGTCCGTAGGACCTTGGCGTCTCAATTCCTGTCGAGGTTTTAAGCAGTCCAGATAGGTACATATGTCTGGAGAGTTATTTTCTAGCACTCTGGAAGGTCCGGGTTCAGGACCCTATATACCCTTGAACCACCGGCAGGAGGCCGTGGAGGCGGCCGCGCCGGGCTCCGCCGCCGCCCTGAACACCGGCGGCTGGGGCGGGCCCGTCTCGGCGCCGCTGCGGGCGGCCGTGCGCCAGGTGGTGTGCGCCCTGCCCACGGCCTTCTGCTTCTGGGACGCGGACGCCGACGAGCTGTGGCTCTGGGCCTCCGCGGACGCCGAGATCCCCGGGGGGGACGGGCAGGCCGCGGCCCTGGCGGCGGGGCTGCGACCGCTGGCGCGGGCGCTGCACGAGCTGCTGCGGGGCGGGGCGGCCGAGGAGGGCCTGCCGCAGCGCTCCGACGGCTTCTCCAGGCTCGACGAGGCGCTGCGCTTGCGCGGCATGGCCAGCGCCGTGGAGCAGGCGGCGCCTGGCAGCGCCGAGGCGCTGCGCACCGGCGGCTCGGGCGCGGCGTTGCCAGAGCGGCTGCTGGCCGCGGCCCGCGAGGCCCGGGCGGGCAGAGGGCAAGCGCGGGGGGGAGAGGCGGGCCAGCCGCCGTCGGGCCGGCGGCCCCATGTCTGCCAGGGCACTGCGGCCAGCTGCGCGGGTCGGGGGGGGGGGGGGGGGGGCTGCTCTCCCTGACCTTCCAAGAGGGATATAATAGCACCCGAGCCTTGACACCCAACTTCCTGTCGAGGATTTAAGCAGTCTATAGGTATGGAGGAACATCTCCTAGCACTCTGGAAGGTCAGGGCTGCTGGGGCGCCCCCCACCTCCCAGGAGACGGGCCTTCCTCCTCGTCGTTGCCCTGCTCCGTTCCTCTGCTTGCTTTGTGCGGCCACGCGTATATCCAGCAGGCTGGTCATGCTTGCGCGAGAGTTGGGCGCACGCGTGAGCGACGGAAGAAGGCGGGAGCGATTGCCCGGACATTCGCGCGTCAGTTTCCAGCGTAAGATCGCGCGCAAGCACCCTCTTCTCAACGCGGCTAGCCACGCTGGCCCGCGCAAGCTGCGGCGTGAGGCCGCGATGTCCTCTCGCGTCAGACCCGCTTCTTGCCGTCATTCATGCATCCGCAAGTCTTTACAACGTCTGGCCCTCTTGTGGCAGGGTAGTTGCGCCAGCCCTCCGCGTGTGTTGGCCCCAGCGTGGTATCCGCATGCTCTGTCTCCACGCTTTCGTCCTTATACCACGCCTTCCCAGGCTGAAGCTGGCGAGGATTTGCTGCCGGCCCCTTGGCACGGAATTGCATTCAGTCAGTTTGCAGGGGGTGAGAGAGTAGCATGAGGGACGACAGTAACAAAGAGAGAGCGGGGAGGAGCCAACATATATATATATATATATATATATATGCATACATACATACATACATACATACATACATACATACACACATACACACACATACACACATACACACACATACACACACATACACACATACACACATACATGCATACATACATACATACATGCATGCATGCATGCATACATGCATACATACATGTTTACATACATCTATACATACATACATACATACATACATACATACATACATACATACATACGTACGTACATACATACATACATACATACATACATACATACATACCCACATACATACATACATACATACATATATACCGTACATACATACATACATACATACATACATGCATACATACATACATACATACATACATACATATATACATACATACATACATACATACATACATACATACATACAGACAGACAGACAGACAGACAGACAGACAGACAGACAGACAGACAGACAGACAGACAGACATAGAGAGAGAGAGAGAGACGCACAACCACAACCACGAACTCGCCTCTGTCACGAGGACCCTGCTCAGTGAGGAGAGACAGCGAGAGGGAGAGAGAGAGTCGCAAAACCACAACCACGAACTCGTTCCTGTCACGGGTCCCCTGCTCAGTGAGGGGGCCCCTTGGGCCGCCGCACCCAGCATGCTCTGTATGCACACCCCGCCCAGCCGAGACGCCCGCAGCACCCAGACGCCCCTCGGCCCTCCCCCGCTTCCCGGTTCCAGGTGGTCTTCGGCGCCCCGGCGTCCTTCGAGATCTGGGACCCGGACGCCGAGCCCCTGTGGGTCCGCGCGCTCGCCGCGCCCCCGGGGGAGCCCGAGGCGCAGCAGGCGCCGCTGGCGGCCCAGCCGTCCTGGGCGTGCCGAGGCGCCGGCGCGGCAGAGGGCTCGCGGGCGCCGGCCACCGCGGCGGCGGCTCCCGCGCACCGCTTCTGGACGCCGACGCGCGGGGAGCCCGCCCGCCAGGCGTCGCGGGGGCTGCCGGGCCGGGCCTCGTGGCACGCGCAGACGCCGCCCCGGACGGCCCGGCCCCAGTCCGCGGCGCCAGGGCGCCGCGCGGCGGCCGCTTGCGACGCCCGTGTGGGGCGCTGCCGCGGACGCTTCAGGTCCTTCAACCCGGTGGAGGGCTACGGCTTCCTGCGCTGCGACTCGCTGCCGGACAAGGACGTGTACTTCCACGCCTCCGGCTCGGCCGTGCTCGGAGAGGTCCCCGGGCACTGCGTCACACCCCCGGACTCGGACCCCTGCGGGCCGGAGGCGGAGTTCGAGCTGCAGTGGAGGAACGGCAGGCCGCGCGCAGTGAACCTTTCGCTGGTCGGCGCGGGCCCGCCCGCGGATGCCCCAGGGGAGCCCCCAGCTGGACCCGCGGCCGCGCCAGCAGAGGTGCCAGCCCGCCAGCAGGCCGCACTGGTGGAGGGTCCAGCCCGCCCACCGGCCGCGCCAGCAGAGGCCAGACCGCCAGCTGCACTGCCAGGGGTCCCAGCACTGCCACCAGCCACTGCACCAGCGGCCGACGCGGCAGGCGGCAACGCTGGGAGGGGGGAGCGGCCCGAGCAGTGGCCCCTGCAGGAGGCGTCGGCGCCTCCAGGCCGCTGGCACCCCGGGCAGGAGCTCTCGCCCGAGCTGGACCGCCTGGGGCGGGCCATGCTCGCGGTGCTGCGCCACTACGCCGCCCGCGACGGCGTGGAGATCCGGGCAGACGGCTTCGCGAAGCTGAGCGAGACCCTGTCCGTCCAGAGCCTCCGCCAGCCGATCCAGGCCGCCGCGCCCGGCTCTCCCGCGCCCCAGCCCGGCCGGCCCGTGCGGCCGGAGCTGCTCCGGGCGGTACGCGAGATCGCCGCGAAGTCCCGGAAGGACGGCCTCCCGCGCTTCGAGCTGTGGGAGGGCGGCCAAGCTGGCGCCGAGGATGGGCGGCGAGCGAGGGGGGGAAGTGAGAAGGGGTGGGCCCTCTCAGAGGACAACGCCCTCCCCGAAGGAGCAGAAAGCTTCTCGGAAGGCGCGGGGGCTTCTGAGAATCCCCGCCGCCTTCTGAGAAGGCCTTAGTCTTCTCGAGCTGAGCGGTGTTTACGCGATTTCGTTGACCGTTCTCGTGTTGGTTATGTTTCGCAGCAAAGGCGGAACGAAGACATGGCGAGGGAAAACGAAAACAAACACGAACCTAACACGAAATCAAACGGAAACGACAGACATTGTTTAGCTCGAGCCTTGCCAAGGAGATCTGGGTCCGGGCCACCGGAAAGCACACCTTCGCCGCGCGCGGGCAGCCGGGGCCGCGAGGCCAGACGGCGCGTTCGGGACGGGGAGGCCTAGGATCAGGAGGGCCAGCAGCAGCAGGAGCCGAGGGCGATGCCGAGGCTAGGACGAAGGCAGGACAAGGACCAATTCGGACGAGGATAAATAATCGAGAGTCCCTGAGATCCGGCGGCTCTGGAGGATGTCTCGGGTGCCGCGGCCTTCTGAGAGCGTTCCGGAACGCTCTGAGAGCACTCCGCAACGTTAAGTCGGGCCTGTCCCTCTACAGGAGGAATATTCAAAAATTGTATTAAAAAAAATCAGGGGACGATTTTTTACAGAATTTCATTACCATTTGGGGGTATTGTTTCAGTTGTTTTTGATTTTTCGCCCAAGATCCGCCTGCAGGGGGAGACGCCCGACCCGAGCGTAACGCTGGGGAGCGGGTGGCTCCTCGTCCTGGCCCCTTCCCGAGAGGCCGAGGAAAAAATCGAGAGTCTCCGAGATCCAGCGGCTCTGGAGGATGTCTCGGGCGCCGCGGCCTTCTGAGAGCGTTCCGGAACCGCTCTGAGAGCATGCCGAAGCGCTCTGGAGCGGATCGCTCCTCGTCCTGGCCCCCTCCCGAGAGGCAGCAGCAGCAGGAGCTGCAGCAGCAGGAGTTGCAGGCAGAAGCAGGAGCTGCAGGAGCTGCAGCAGAAGCAGGACTGCAGGAGCAGCCGCAGCAGCAGCAGCAGCCGCAGCAGCAGCAGCAGCAGCAGCAGCAGCAGCAGCAGCAGGAGCTCCCGAGAGGCAGCAGCAGGAGCAGCAGCAGCAGGAGCTGCAGCAGCAGAAGCAGGGCTCGGACCTCCGACGCGCGCTGTTTGATGCGGCGCATATAGGCCCCGGGGGCTCTCGGCAGCGTCCTGAGCTCTTGACCCTCAAGAGCACTACAAAACAGCCCTCCAGACCTACACATGCTTCATGTCTAATTGTTCGAAAGATCTTTGATTTTTTTGGGGGGCAAGATCCTGATATTTCTAATTGTTCTATCCTGGGCCTCTTCCTGGCCACTAGGGGGCCAAGAACAATTAGAAACGAACGCAAGTAGAAATGAACACTATTAGAAATGAACGACGTGTATAGACCTGAAACCTCGACAGAAATTTGGGCGTCCTGTTCCTGGTGCTCTTTTTTGAGTCCTCCCGGGAGGTCAGGGAAGGCACTGGCTGTCGTGGCTCGTTTCTGGACTGCGCCCAAGTCCAAAGCTCCACAGACAAGCCCCACAGACAGTCCAAAGTCGTGGTTTGGATCCAGATGTCCAAGCTCCACAGACACCGGCCGATCCCGAGGCGACTGGGGGTCTGGGAAGGATGGACGAGGACGAGAGGCAGAAGGCGCCTGCCGTCATCGCCAACGTATAGTGATGACCACTGCCGGTTGCTGGAGGTCTCGACCCCATCCTGCACGGCGTGGGGACCCGAGGCAGGAGCAGAGCCCAGATCGCCGCCGTTGCGAAGAGTGTCCAAGAATGCCACATGATGATGCTGTGGGCCGTGTTCACGCGGCGGCGCCCGGGATGATGATTCCGGCATTGGAGGAGGAGGAGGAGGAGGAGGAGGAGGAGGAGGAGGAGGAGGAGGAGGAGGTGGGCCGGGTAACTATCTTTTTCGAACCGTTACCCACCACCCCCGCCCTCCTCGGGCGCGCGGCTGGACGGTCGACGGGCCAGACGGAGTCTGAGCGAAGTGGAGGCCGAAGATCAATCGTTATCTTGCATTACGTGGTCCTTCAGGTTTTCGGCTCATCATCCTTCTCCTCCTCTGCTTCTCCTCCTTCTCCTCCTTTTCCTCCTCCTCCTCCTCCTCCTCCTCCTCCTCCTCTTCGTCCTCCTCCCTCTCCGCCTCCTCCTCCTCCTCCTCCTCCTCCTCCTCCTCCTCCTCCTCCTCCTCATCCCGAGAACGACCTCCATGGACGGCACAAGCGTGAGAAGAACCCGTCTTCGTTCGCTTGAGCCATGGCCAGGCAAATTGTGTAGTCGGTGGACGGTTTGATCTGGCTTCTAGTTTCTGCGATTGTCCATTTCCCATGAAGGTTCTGGCTGCACAGATAAATGCCTCCTGGAGAAGCGCAGGCAGATTGACAGACCAGCCTCGCCGATGATGTCGTATCGAACCACGGCGTTGCAGGCCGCACCGCTTACCCGCCATTTGTGTGGGATGGTGCAGATCTGCGGAAGGGTGGGGATGAGCAGAGGGAATGAGAACGAAGATGACAAGGAGGATGAGGAAAAGGAGGAGGAGAAGGAGGAGAATGAGGATGAGGATGACGATGACGATGACGACGACGATTACGATGACGATGACGATGATGATTATGATGATGACGATGACAATGACAATGACGATGATGGTGTTGATAATGCTTTGTGGTGTTGGATGATGATGGGTGGTGATGATGGTGATGATAACGATGATGATGATGATGATGATGATAGTGATGATGATGATGATGACGATGATGATGATGATGATGATGATTGTGATGATGGTAATGACGATGATGATGATGATGATGATGGTGATGATGCTGATGATGGTAATGACGATACTGGTGATGATGATGTTGATGATGAGGTTGATGATACTGATGATGGTGTTGATGAGGATAGTCATGACGATGATGGTGATGATGACGGTGATGGTGATGCTGTTGATGACGATGTTGATGATGAGGGCAATGAGGATGCTGTTGATGATGATGTTGATGATGATGATCATCATCAGCATGAAGATTATGATGATGCTGTTGATGATGATGATGATGATGACGACGACGACGACGACGATGATGATGATGATGGTGAGAATGTTGATGATCATGCTGCGGATGAGGAGGATGAGGAGGAGGAGGAGGAGGACGAGGATGAGCACGAGGATGAGGATGAAGATGAGGATGATAGTACTGCTGCTGCTGCTGATGAGGAGGAGGAAGACGAGGATGAGGATGAGGATGAAGATGATGATGCCGATGCTGATGATAATGATGATGATGTTGCTGATGACGATGCTGACGATGCTGATGATGATGCTGCTGCTGCTGCTGATGATGATGCGTGCCTGGAAGGGGACGCGCAGGGGGCCCGGCCGCCGCCAGGTCGTCCGGCGCCCCGAGCCAGCGGCGCTCCCGGTGAGTCCCCCGACCCTTGGGCGGGCAGGGACCCGTGGGCGGCCTCCGCTGCCACGGGGGCGCGGGACCCGAAGGCCCCGCGGCGGCGGCGGCGGCAGCGGCCCCGCTGGCGTCCGTGGCTGCGGCTGCCGACCGCGCTGAGCCCAGATCTCCGACGACATGGTGCTGGCCAGTGTCGTTTTTTCCCCGATTTCGGCCCCTGGAGCCCGTGATCGGAGCCCGCGGCCATCAGGAAGATCCGGGACGAAAAGCACCCCCTGCCAAGGGGTCGGGAGGTCTGCGGGCCCCAGACTGCAAAATTCACATCGGCGGATGTCAGGGACCGCGCTGAGTCTTGTGGCGGCGATGGCGGCGGCCGACGCCGACGGGGCGGCGGTGGGCGGCGGCGACGATGACAAGACGGCGGTGTTACGCGAGGCCCCGCTGCCCTGGCACGCCGTGTCAAAGACCGCGGCTCCGGCGCCCGGCAGCGGGCGCAGCACCGCCGCGGGCACCGCAAGCGCCAGCGCCAGCGCGAGCGCGGGCACCAGCATCGGCCGCACGCAAGAGCGACCCCTCGCTGGAAATAGCCTTCCCTGGATCTGAATTCGCGTCGTGGAAACATCGCGGCGTGTCCGTCGTTGTGCCCGAAGCGTCCCGATCGGAGACCCGATAGCCCGAAACTTTGGCACCTTCGGGTCGTGGATGAAGATCACGGCGGAAGGTCGGTGGCGATTTCTTTCACGCTTCGGGGGGCCTTTGCCGGGCCCCAGGGACGCGTCCAAGAATGACGCAGTAGGGATCTGGATCTTTGCTAATGGGCCCACTTTCCACCACCGCTACCACAGGTAGGACGGGGGAGAAGGGAGGACGGGGAGGTCGTCGTCCTCCTCCTCCTCTTCCTCCTCCTCCTCCTCCTCCTCCTCCTCCTCCTCCTCCTCCTCCTCCTCCCTCTCCTCCCTGTGGTAGTGGCGGTGGAAAGTCGGCCAACCCTCTGGGGAGCCACGCTGCGAACAAAACCCACTCGGATGTCTGGCTCTGGTGCGCGGCCCTCGGGTGACGCGGGGGGGGGGGGAGAGGCCGGGCCCGAGCCCGCTGGCCGCGCTGCGTGCTGCGGTCGGCGGGGCCCGCGGGCCTCGAGGGCCCGCCCTTGCGTGCGGCCGAGCCAGCGCCAGCAGCGCCGACGCCCCGGCCGCCCCGGGCGGCTGGTGGCGGCTGCTCGGGGACGACCGCCGCCGCGGGCCCGCGCCGCAGCCCGGCGAGGAGGGGGCGGCCGCTGGGGCCGCGGCCGCGCCAGAGGACAACTGGGCCCAGGCCTCCGGACGGAGAGGGTCGGCCACGCGCAAAAAGGGGGGCAGGGGGAGGGGGGGTGAGGCTTCTGAGAGGAGCACCCCTGGTTTTTGGAGGGCGCGGGCCTCGTCTGCAGATGCGGGGCCCATGCCTTTCAGAGGCAGCCTCCTTCTGAGAAGCCTTTCCCCCTCCCCCTACCTCCCTCTGCGCGCCGCCATGGAGGGGGGGTGGTCGGACGGGGCTAGGAGGAGGACAAATCCGTTCCAGAGCGTTCTGGAACGCTCTCAGAGCGTAACGCTCTGAATGCGCCGCGGCGCCCGAGACATCGGAGATTCTCGATTCATCCTCACCCGATGTTATCCTCGTCCTGGCTTCGTCCTTAGGGGGGGGATCCCTGGCATCTGAAGCGTCGTGGGGCAAACTCACGTCGGGAAGCGCTTCGGCAGCTCTCGGCCTCCAGGGGCACAGGCTGGGCCCGGCGCCGTCCGCAGAGGCCCAGGACAGAGAAGCCGTGCCCAGTGAGGGTCCAGACCTTTGGTGATCCACGGTGCGAGAAAAGTACCACGTCGGATACAATCAGGTCGCTGTAAGAAGGGCCGCTTTGGGTTCAGAAGGGGCTCGCTGTTCCTTCGGTCATTCCGGGGCTGTTCCTCTAGCCCTCCTCGTGCACCCAGGCGCTGGCGCTGCGGGCGCCAAAAAGGAATTCCTTTCCTTAATTGAGCGTTCCTTCTTTCGGCAGCCCTTCTGTATCCCGGGGAGGGAGAGAGAGAGAGAGAGAAAAAAAAAAAAAAAAAAAAAAAAAAAAAGGGACGGAACGGGTGGAAGGAGGGGCTCGCAGGAAGGAGGGCAGGAGTGCGCAGGGGAGGGAGGAGGGAGGGATCGTTCTGGTGAGGGAGGGGGAGGAGGGATGGAACGGGCGGAAGGAGGGGCTCGCAGGAAGGAGGGCAGGAGTGTGCTGTGCGCGGGAGGGAGGGAGGGATCATTAGGGCCAGACGAAGGGGAACAAGGGGGGTACGAAATCTGCTGCATGCAGCTGGTCTCGGCCCCGCCGCGGGGCGCTTTCCTTTTATACATACACACACACATATATATATGTAGAGAGAGAGGTAGATCGGCACATACAGACGTATGCATGTGTGGTGTGCGCATGCATGCCTACATACATACATACATACATACATACATACATACATGCATGCATGCATGCATGCATGCATGCATGCATGCATACATGCATACATACATACATACAAATGCATAAATACGTACATGCATACATACATGCATGCATACATACATACATACATATATATACACACACAAATATATCAGACTTATGACTACAGGTCATTGGGGTATCTCGGGGGTCCCGCGAAATCGCCGATCTTATCTCGCAGCTTTCTTGCTCTGATGTCTTTCTGTGCACCGAGGGTGCACGTCGGCGCGCGAGCGAGCTGATAGCAGCTCGCCTCTGCAGGCCGCATGGCGGACGGCGAGGGCGCCGCGGCGGCGGCCGTTGGCAAGGGCCGCACCGTGCGGGCAGGTGACTGCATCCAGGTCACGTGCTACGACGACGCCGACGCCGAGCAGGGCGAGGCCGTGTTTCGGATCGTCAGCCTGTACGAGGCGAGCGAGCACGGCCAGTTCGCGCGCGCTGAGTTCCTGTTCTGCACTGATCAGTACTTGCAGTGGTACGAGGAGAATGCGGGATCCCCTGGAGCCAGGAAGTCAAAGCGTGTTCTCCATTTTTGTCCAGAGGATGAGTCGGCCATCCTATGCGCGGCGGAGGCGGGCCCTGGCGTGGAGGTGACGCACGTCGACGAGTTCGTGGTCCTAGAGTCGGTCGAGGAGGCGTACCTCCAGTTCCGGCGACGCAATCCTGCTGCGCGCTGGCCTGCCGAGCTGGGGCCCGAGCCGCTGGAGGAGGAGCTGGGGGATCCCGGGGACGAGGAGCTGGTGCCCGCCGAGCTGGACGAGTTCGGGCTCGCCGCCAAGGTCGTCGACTCCGTGGGTGAGCTCGAGGCCGCTCGCGAGGCGGAGGGGCCTGGCGCCGCCGCGGGCCCTCCTGGGCGTGCCGCCGTCAAGGCGCGCGGTCGGCCGCCCGCTCGGGCTCGGCCACCTGCCGCGGCCGCGTCTGAGCCCGCGGGGCTGCCTGGCGGGAGCGTTCGCCCCCGCGGCACCGCCGGCGGGGAGACCCCGCTCGAGGCCGCCGCCGCCGCCGCTGCGAAGGAGCCTGCAGGGCGCCGCCCTGACGAGGAGATGCAGGCGCTCCTCCGCAAGAGGCTGGGCGACTTGAAGGGTCGTCTGGGCGCCGAGGGCGACGCTGCCGCCGAGCCTCGAGGTGCCGCTGCTGAGGGGGCCCCGCTCAAGAGGAAGTCCCTGGATGAGATCCTGGCTGAGAGGGCGGCGAAGGCTCCCAGGCGGGGGCCCGCGGACGGGGGCGCAGCTGGCAGCGGAGGCCTGGCGGGCGCTGGGCCCGAGCGTGAGGGCGGCGGGTCTGCCGCTCACCTCCTTCGCTCGCTGCTGGGCGCGCTCACCCCTGCCGAGGGCATCGAGGGCTTCGGCATCACCGACGGCTTGGAGTTCACGCCTGGGAAGTCGTTGGCTGCCTCACGAGCGTTCTTCAGGAAGACTGCTCGCGACACTCCAGGGAAGCTGTTGACGGCCCACTTGTCGCACCTCAAGCAGTTTCTCAGCACAAAGGGCATGCACGATGCCGAGGAGGAGCTCCCTCCGATAGTTAACAAGTTCCTGCTGAACATCTTCTTGGCCTCGCACCCTGTTTCATCAATCGGCGAGGACATGTTCAGGCAGATGCGCACTCTGTCCGAGTCCCTGGACCTCTTGATCCAAGGGAAGCTCCCGGAGGCCATGGACATGCTCATGCAGAGGTTCAAAGCCTGCCAGCTCGCCTGCAAGGATAAGCATTGGAGGAGCGCGCGCTGGCTGGAGCTCATCCCTCCCGATGCCGACATGGCTGCCATCAATATCGAGGAGGAGGAGCTTCTGAGGAAGATCGAGTACGGCGAATTGAAGCTCGCCGAGCTCGCGGGGAAGCTCAAGCCTGTCGGCTAGGGACTCGGCCGGGGGTCCGCTCCACCCAGCATGGGAGCGACCCCTGCAGGCCACCCCAGCGACGGGACGACTGGTGGGCCAGCTGGAGGTCGGGGTTTTCAGGAGGCGGCTCGCACTGCAGAGGTGGCGGGCGCGAGTCGCCAGCCTCCACGCCCCCCGACGGCGGACAGGCCCTCCAGGACTTTCAAGGAATTGAAGCTGCAGAACCCCAAGAAGGACGGCGAGACGCAGGGCAAGTACCGGCAGCGCCTGGCGCTGCTCATGCGGGGCGACGGCCCCAAGAGGCAGGCGCCGCCAGTGCAGGGCGGTGCTCGCAAGGTCATCCTGGAGGGCGAGGGCTCGCAGGACCAGGCCGCCAACCAGAAGACTGCCGCTCCATGGGCGGCACCTCGGCGGTGACGCACGCCACCGAGGCTAATTCGTCGTGTGCCAGCGGCGGAGCGAGCTGGCCTTGGACGCTCACTAGCATGTCCGACCTGAGGGCCTGGAAGTCCAGGCTTGCTGCGGCCCTCGAGGATGGCATGACCCCGCTCACCTTCGCGCTCTGGCTGATAGATGCTATGTTCACACACCCTGGCAGGCTGGGCAGGTTCTGTCGGGGTTTTCTTCACCACGCGCATTCACCGCAGCAGCAGGGGCAGAGGTTTCGTGATGTGCTGCCTCTTGCTGCTCCATCATTGGACAGTGCCAGGGCCTGGAAGGTTACATCGAGGGGGTCAGCGGCGGGGACCTCGAGTGAACCTGGACCCGATTTTGATGGGCCTTCTGCTTGCGCTGTCGCTGCCGAACTGTGGGTCTTCATCCAGGTTATGCTCACGAACTACCAGTATGCGGGCACGTGCGGGGAGGAGGCGTGGGGCCACCACTCGCACTACTCCGCCGCTCAGGTCAACGCCGTCGAGGTCATGAGGGAGGCTGTCTCGTATTTCCTCGGGGGCGACCTTGGCAGGGTTCAGCTGCCCCTCCTTAGTGAGATCTCGACGCGGGCGTCCAGCGCTTACGACATCGACAGTGGCACGCGTGCGCTGCCCCTTAGGCTGGGAGAACTACGACCTGGCCGACCAGCAGCTGATGTCGCTGGCCGGCTGGACCCTCGTGCTCATGTCAGCCCTGAGGTGCTCACCTGGTTGGACGACCCGTCGGTGGCCCTCCTGCCACGTGCCCAGTGGCCTTCTGAGGTTCCGAAGGCGAGGCTGCTGGTCGACTCGCCTGCGGAGTGGGCGAGGATCGTTGGCCACTTGTACTCGCTCGGGATCGTGGAGGCCATAGAGGACGAGCAGATCTTTCGGGCGGACGGCGTCCCCGTGCTCAACGGCGCCTTCGCAGTTGAGAAAAGGGGCGTGCCCGAGGCTGGTGAGCAGAGGCAGCGCCGCTTCATCATGAACATGGTGCCAGCGAATAGCTACCTGAAGATCATGACCCAGGACCTGTCGACGCTGACGGCCTCGACCTCTTGGGTTACGGTGGTGTTGGAGGGCCAGCGCGTCTTGCTCTGGTCGGGTGACGACCAGCAGGGCGCCTTCTTTGTCTGGAAGATCCCGCGGGCCTGGCGCAGCTTCACGACGTTGAAGGGCCGCGTCCCCGGCCGCCTCGTGGGCCGCCCAGATCTGAAGACGGTGCATGTGTGCTCAGCCGTTATACCGATGGGCTGGCTGCTGGCCGTCACGTTATTCCAACACCTTCATAGACGCCTGGGCCTGCGCCCTCCCCCCGCTGGAGCGGGCCTGCCTGAGATTGATGAGTGGAGGAGGGACAAGCCGCTCCCCATTGCTCAGGTGGGCGGTTGCAGGTCTTGGTACCAGTTCTTCATCGACGACTTCGATGCCCCCAGGATCGTGAACGACACCGAGGGGGAGGTCGGCGTCGGCTCTGCTTACCAGAAGCGTCAGAGGGCTTCCTACCAGCGCAACGGCGTGGCCTGGGCCGAACGCAAGGCCCACCTCGGGGAGACGAAGGTCGAGAGGATGGGCGTGCTCGTGGATGGTCTGCGCGGGCCCGTCTCGGTACCTCTCATGAAGCTCTTCGAGACCATGCTCTTGGGGGCCCTGCTGGTGACCAAGGACTGGGTCTACTGGAAGACCATGCTCGTGCTCCTGGGCAAGCTCGTCAGGGCTTTGGAGTTCAGGTGCGTCCTCTTTTGCATCCTCAACGAGGTCTGGAAGTTCGCGGATGGCACTCACTCTGGCTGGGTCAACTCGGAGATGACCGAGGAGATCCTCAGCGGCGTGGGCCTCCTCCCGCTTGCCTTCACGGACCTTCGCGCGGAGGTCGATGCGAGGGTTACCTGCTCTGACGCCTCGGAGGATGGTGGAGGCGCCTGCACGTCACTGAGGCTGTGCCCCGAGGCCCTCTCGAAGCTGACGGCTGCTGCCGCTGCAGGCCAGGAGGGCAGGCAACACCTCATGGCGGGCCGCCTGCTGCTGGGCGAGGCGTCGCTTTGGCGAGCGTGGGAGTCGAGGAACCCTGGTTTGCCGCCCCCTGCTGGTGATAAGATACCTGCTGTCCTGGTCATAGGGCTGTTCGACGGCATCGGGGGCATGATCGTCTCGCTCTCAAGGCTCCGCACGAAAATCATTGGCTACGTCTCGTCGGAGGTTGACCCCAGCGCGCGCAGGGTCGTCAGGAAGAGGTGGCCCGGCCTCATCGACTGGGGGAACATCCAAGACGTTGGGACTCAGCACATTGACAAGCTGGTCCAGCTCTTCGGCGGGATCGTCGACGTGGTCTACTGTGGCGCCGGCAGTCCATGCCAAGACCTGTCGAGGCTGATGTTCGGCAGGAGGGGGCTCGAGGGCCAGAAGAGCGCTCTCTTTCGCGAGATACCGCGAATCCTGGGGCTGCTGAACGCCGCGTTCCCTGGGAAGGTCCGCTCCCTCGTCGAGAACGTCGCCTCCATGCCATTCGAGGACATCGAGCGCATCTCTAGCGAGCTCCAGGTCACGCCCTACCGGTTCTGCAGCAGCTGCCTGGTCCCCAACAGAAGGCCGCGGTTGCACTGGCTCTCGTGGCGTTTGCTGCCGTGCAAGGGCTATAGCTACAAGGACAGGGGGCACTTCGTCGAGGTCATCTCCGACGGCGCGGCGCGCGTGGAGCTGCCCTGGACCTCCCCTGGCTGGATTTGGAATGGTGGCCCGCTGCCTGTGCCGACGTTAGTCTGTGCTAGGCCCTCTTTGTTACAGCCTACTCGACCTGCTGGAATTGCTCGGGCCAGCCCCGAGGCGAAGGCTCGTTGGAAAAAGGACGATCATCGTTACCACGTCGGCCTTTACGAGAACGCCTGCCTACTCCAGCATGAGGCCACCATGGAGCTCCGCCCCCCGTCGGCAGAAGAGAGAGAGGTCCTCTTGGGGTTCGATCGAGGATACACCGAGTGTGCCGTAAAAGACGGGTCTGGCTCGAGCCTCGAGACCACGCGCTGCTTCCTGCTTGGGAATAGCTTCTCAGTCTATGCGGTCTCATGGCTGCTGCAGCACTCCCTGGTCGCCGACGAGTTCCAGCCACAGCTGTGGGAGCCCCATGCCCTGTGCCACACGGGCAAGTGCAGGGCCCCGTGGAACGACAGCGCGGTGTACCACCAGGGCGACGACTACCAGTACGAGCCCGAGGCGGAGCAGCTCGTGCGGCACTACCTGTCTATCGCGGAGAGAGGGGGCACGGACGTGCGCTTGGACGTGCACCTCCCGTTCCGGCACCGCGCGTGGCCGCGCGTGTCGCTCGAGCCCAGCGTCTGGACGTGGAAGGTGATCTCAAGTTACCGGTGGCGTGCTGGGATCGGGAAGCACATCAACGCCCTCGAGATCCAGGCGGCCGTGAACACCATCAAGTGGAGGCTGCGGTCGGGCACGGGCCGCCCCAGGCGCATGCTACACCTGATCGACAGCCAGGTCGCCGCTTCGGTGCTGACGAAGGGCCGCAGCAGCAGCAGGGTCCTGCGGATGCACGTCAAGCGCTGGGGGGCCTTGTGCTGGGCGACAGGCTGCTACGTCATGCTTGGCTACATCGCGTCGGAAGACAACCCCGCCGACGCGCCATCCCGAAAGGTGTGGCAGCTAAGAGGCTCTCGCCGCAAGCCCAAAGGCTCCAGCGGTTGCGAGGCTCCCAGAGGCTCTCTGATCTCAGGGTCAGCGCGGTCACGCTCAAGAGGTACCGTATCGCCGTCGCGGAGTTCCTCGCCTTCGCCATCGAGGGTGGCTTCCCGCTGAACAGCTCGGCCGAGGCGGACAGCGCGCTGGGCGCCTACGTCGAGGACCAGTGGGCGAACGAGGGCACGCTCAGCCATGGGCGCTATGCGCTCGCCGGTTGCCTCTTCTTCGCCCCCGAGCTCCGCACGGCCCTGCCCTTTGCGTGGTCCCTGGTCAAGACGTGGCAGAAGCTGGCGCCCATCAATCGCGCCTATCCGGCCAGCCCCGAGATGGCGCTCGGGCTTGCAGGCGCTGCAGTCTCGGTTGGCCAGCCCCTGTTGGCTGCCCTGGTCCTCGTCACGTTTGATGCGATGCTTCGGACCAAGGAGCTGCGTGATCTTACATATGATGATATCACGTTCGCCGAGGGCGGCGTCATACTGCGCCTGTCGGAGACGAAGATGGGCGTCAGGACCGGCAATGTGCAGTTCGTCGTGGTGCGAACGCCCGCCGCAGTCAACTTGCTGCGGGTTGCTGCGGAGCGCGCCCAGCCGACGGACCACCTGTGCCCGTACACGTACGTGCAGCTCCAGCGGCTCCTGAAGTCGCTCCTCGCTGTCGCCTCGATCCCGCCTGCGCGCTGGTCCTGGTACAGCTTCAGGCGAGGAGGCGCCTGCCATGACTTTCTCTTGGGCGCCAATCTCGAGCGCACAATGCAGCGTGGGAGATGGAGTGCCGTGACTTCTGCACGTGTGTATATCGAGGAGGCTGTCGCCGACCTTGTAGATGTCTCAATGAGCCAGCTCTCGAAAGATATATTGAGTCAGCTTGGCCTAATGCTACTGAATTCCGGCTATAGCCAGTAAAAGGTGTGTATGGAGAGGCCGCGGCGGCCACCCTGGAGAGTTTTTTCCTTCGGTGGCGGGCCCCCCGCTTGTACCGTGCCCTCGGCCTTGGGACCCCTGGGCCGCTCCGTGGGTCCGTGGTTCGGGCGCCGTGACCCTCGAGGAATCGATCTGGCTCGAACTCTCACGTGTCCTGGGAGCGCGAGGGTGGTGCGAGTAGCGGGGGGCCCCGCAGCGTAAAAACCTCAACACAGCTGTCTGGCACAGCTGCGAGATCTTAACCAGTGGCGAATGCGCGACCAAAACGAGATCAGACTTATGACTACAGGTCATTGGGGTATCTCGGGGGTCCCGCGAAATCGCCGATCTTATCTCGCAGCTTTCTTGCTCTGCCATCCCACAACCACCCGAGCAAGTAGGGGAGAGGCCGCGGCGGCCACCCTGGAGAGTTTTTTCCTTCGGTGGCGGGCCCCCCGCTTGTACCGTGCCCTCGGCCTTGGGACCCCTGGGCCGCTCCGTGGGTCCGTGGTTCGGGCGCCGTGACCCTCGAGGAATCGATCTGGCTCGAACTCTCACGTGTCCTGGGAGCGCGAGGGTGGTGCGAGTAGCGGGGGGCCCCGCAGCGTAAAAACCTCAACACAGCTGTCTGGCACAGCTGCGAGATCTTAACCAGTGGCGAATGCGCGACCAAAACGATATATATATATATACATATATATGTGTATACATGCATGCATGCATGCATGCACACATACCTACGTACCTACCTACCTACATACCTACCTACTTACCCACCCACCTACCTACCTACCTACCTACCTGCATACCTACATACATACATACATACAAACATACACACATAAACACATAAACAGATAACCATATACATACACACATACATACATGAAAGCATGCATGCATGCATACATACATATGTACATACATGCCAACACACATACGTGCATGCATGCATGCATACATACAGAAAACAAGTACATGCGTGGAGACAACCATACATATATACATGGATGTACGTATGCATGCATGCATACATACATACATGCACACAAACATACACAAATACATACATGTACGTATGCGTGTATGCATGTATGCGTATAGACAAACCTGCACACATACACAACTGCATGCATACACATATACCTACATGTACACATACAGTATAGAGACATATATGTACATATACGTATACTTACATACGTACATACATACAGCAATACAGACATGCATGCATGCATGCATACATGCATGCGCGCATACGTACATATATGCATGCTTACATGCACGCATACATACAGACATGGAAACATACCTACATCTATACAGATGTACATGTATGCATGTATGCATACATGCATACATACAGACATGCATACATACACAAATACAATCACACGTACGTGCGTACGTACATACATACATACCTATAGATTTGCGCCTCCAGCGCTTGGAGGCGCAGAGAAAACCAGCTACATGCATTAGCGCACCTTTGCTGTAACCCCCCGACTCGTCCGGGCCGGCTGGTTCACGTCCCCGGAGTGGACGTTGGGACTCTCGGGCTGGCCCCTACTTGCACCGCCCGGGAGGGAGGCCAGACCGGAGGACACGCCGCAGCAGGGGAGGGGCGCGCGTGCTTTGGGCGTCTCCCCGCGACAAAAGTCCCCACGTCTGGCAGGGGAGGGGAGGGAGGGGCTGGCGAGCCCAAGCAGGCCCCTGCGACACCGAAGTGGAGAGGTCAAGGGCGGAGGCGCCGCCCAGGCTGACCCACTGCGACCTCTCGCACCTCCAGGGCGCCGGCGCTGCAGTGCGGCCCCCCGCGTCCTGGGTCGGCTCTCCGACCGGGCGGTGAGCAGCATGACCGTCGGAGGAGGGCGCGGGGGCCGTCACCCGCGGCCAGACCGCGGCATCGGCACACTCTTCCTCCCGAGCGTCCCAAGCTGCACGGCTGTCAAGCTGGCCCTGGCCCGGAGAGTGAACTCCAGCCAGGGCTCAGGGGTCCGCCCACCAGGACCGCGCCACCGCAACGCTGGCCCAACCGCAGTTGCACCCGCTGGCGTCGAGTCCGCGAGGCGAAGGGCCGCCCGAGAGAGGGAGCCCAGCCCAGCCCAGCCCCGCAGGAGAGCCGAGGTGATGCAGTTGCTCCAGATGCGCTCGGGATGCTGGGGGGAGGGGAGGGGAGGGGGGGGGATAGGGTTAAGTCGGGCGCGTCCCTCTCCAGAGGGAATATTCAAACATAGTTGCTTGTACCACACAAAAGTCTGGAGACAATGTGTCTACCTTTTTTGATGATTTTTTGTATTTTTCTGGTACTTCTCGTTTTTCGTTCAAAATCCGCCTGTAGGGGGGACATGCCCGACCTAAGCATAGGGAGAGGCGAGAGCACCAGAGAGGAGGAGGCGCGGGAAGGGAAAGGCCGGCGCGGATCCCCCTCGAGCCCAAGCAGCTCGGCGCTGGGGCTTCCCTGCAGGGCCATCCCCCAGCGCCGCAGCGCCCTCCTCCAACGAGGGGCACAGAACACCCCCTGCCTAAGAAGCCCAAGCCGGGGGCCTTTAGGTCAAGTGCACCTCGGGGCCCCGCCCGAGACAAGAGAGGAGGGAGGAACGCCCAGGACCCCAAAACGAGAGCGGGCGGGACTTTTCTGCAAAAGGGGAGAGCATAGGAAGGCGCCACTACTCATGAAAAAGGATGGGCGGTCAGGCCCGAACGCTGGTCTGAGTGCTTCAGCTGCACGCCCCGGCAATTGGACGAGGGCAGTACCTGCCAATTCCACCAGGGGCAAGCTCGGCGAATCGTCGTGGCCCTGATGCGGAGGCACCTTGAGCACCTACAGACCACGTGGGGCTGGCCTTTGGTGAACAGAGTGGTGATCACAGTCCACTGCGAGCGACTCCGATCGAGCCAGCGGGATGCCATTCAGAAGGGCGCACGAAAGTCCTGTCAGTGGACAGCCGACGAGGGGCCGACCCACGACCTGGCAACGCGACCGAGACAACGGCGGATGCGGATGAAGCTCTGCGAGTGGGGCCGAGATTTTGTTCGCGCGCTGCGCATGAGTGATGGCGTGTGGTGTAACGGAAACAGTTCCCTCACAATTTCTGGTTTTCTGCACGTCCGGATACGCGCTGGAACGGTGGGGAGCTTGAGAAAGCACCACCACAGAGGTGGCGCGGTGTTGGGGAACCCTGGAGCCCGATGGCAGAGGCCATGACGGCGGCGCCCAACTCAAACTGCTGCAAGCTGGCTGGGGCACTCCGTCGTGCGGACACTTCCCGGCAGAAGGGGCAGCTGTGAGGAGAGGCAGCGACGTCGCGCGGAGACGCACTCCCCAGCAGAAGGGGCAGCCAGGAGGAGACGCCCTCGAGCGTCTGACGCGCCCGCCCCAGGAGAAGTAGGGCACGCGCCTCGAGGGAGGCCTCTCTGGGCCCACGGCTACTCCGCAGACCTCAAGGCATTCGGCCTCCCAGAGAAGGCGGAGTTCGCGGTCTCCTCACCGCGGCGCCTCTACAGGGCAGCGCCGCCCGGCGCGGCCGAACCCGACGAGTGGGTGGCAGCCATGCGGTGAGCCCTCAGGGCAGCAGGCCTCCCACCAGAAGAGGCCAGGGGCATCGGCCTGCACTCTGCGAAGCGCACCATCCTCACGTGGGCCGGCAGCAGCGGCATCTTCACCGACCGCGAGCTCGAGGTGCTAGGCCATCACCGCTCCGCGGGGATCGGCAAAGTTGGCTGCGCTTACACAACGTCATGGTGCTGGCAGCGCCAGTCATCAAGCTGCGGCAACTGCTCGAGCACATCGTGCAACGGGCCTTCAACCCAGACGCGCCTGCCAGAGTGCAGCGGCGGGAGGGCACTTACCCTGCCGGCCAGCCCGCGACACCCACGCCCGCCACGGCGTCTTCGCGCGGGCCCCGCGCCGCCGGCCAATGCACCCGCGGCCGCGTCAGCCGACGGGCAGGCTAAACGCTGGCGCCGCGCCGACGCCGCAGCCTGCAGTCGCCCACAGCGACCAGGTGGCCGCGCAGCCTCCCGCGCACGCAGCAGCCGCCGCGCAGACGCACAGCCCTGCGGAGCGGGCCCCGCTGGACCATTCGTCTGCCCCCAGCGCCCCGCAGCCAGAGGAGAGTCGCGTCCTGGAGGCGGGCGCCGCCGCGCCACCGCCCGCAGCTGCCGCGGCAGGACACCCTTGCGCCGTGCTGCCGCCTGCGGGGGCAGGCACGCGGAGTGGGAGCAGCACCGCGGCCCCCGCGGCAGCGTGGCTTCCAGACGCGGCCGAGGCCAGCCCAGGTGGGGCGCAGCCCCCCGCCAACAAGCTCGGGCACCTCGTCGCCGAGACCACCGGGCTGCCAAAGCCCGTCGCACACTGCCACGCGTGCCCGCCCGCTGAGTAGCCGCGCGCGCGACGGCGCAAGGAGCGCCACGCCGTCGAGACGTCAAGCGGGCCCCTCACGAACCTGTGCGATTTCACGACGGTCCAAGCGAATTGGTCCCTGCAGCTCCGGGGACCCGCGTACGTCATCTACAAGGTGCGCAACTCCCGCCTGCGTAGCCGAAGGTGGGGGCCCGGGCGGGGGATGGGGGGTCGCCCGTGCACGCGCGGGATTGGGTCTGCGCGGAGTAGCGAGAAGCGGGGGGCCAGGACCCTCCCCCTTTGGCGCGATCCTGGCTCGGCTCTTCCCCTTGCGGCACTCCCCCAGGCTGTCGCCGCAACCTTGCAGCGCCTAGAGATGCGGGGGGGGGGACCCGCCTCGCCTTCGGGACTCTGCGTTCCACTGAGGAGCCGCAGCCACCACAGACTCCGATGGGCGGGGGACGATAGAGGGAGCGGAGCAGGAGGGAGGAGGGAGCGAGGGTGCGAGGGAGAAGAGCGTGAGGGAGAAGGGAGTGAGGGGATGGGTGGTCATCGTTGTCGCGCCGCCGCTGCCGCCACCATCCTACCAAAATCCACCCAACAACTGTCCCCCCAAAACCGGGGCCCTTCCCCGCCAGTTCTCAGGGCCGCGCCC